GAGACCGGCACACGGGGACTGACCAAATCGAGAACGGAAACTTCCATCATGCTCTGGTTAAAATAAGCAGTGCGGTTCTTGATGACCTTGACGGCAACAACTTCTTGCGTCTTCAAGTTTTGGCACTTGACGACCTGGCCAAAGGTTCCTTGGCCAAGAACATCCAAGATGAGGTAACGATTCCTATAATGAGGTATGAGTAAAACTGTAGGTATAGACACCGAGTTGTGGATGTCGGCCATAGACTGCCGATCATGCCACCGTAGGGGGGGAATTCCCTTACTTGTGGCCTGCTTCTTCGGATCCTAGAATATCATTGACATAGAGAATATAATCACTGTCTTCATTGTCATAACCATCATTCTTGACTCCCTTGCTCGGTTTAGTCAGGACTCGACGAGGATTTCGCGAGGTCTCATATTTAAAGCCAGGATTGCAGATGCGGTATGTCGCCGGTAAGTGAGATGTGAGGGCTTGAAGAGGCTAGGTAATTGCGTGAGTTAGTCAAGTCAATTGTCACATGTCACTTCACGGTTGTGATGGGCTCAAAGCACGTACGCTGATGAAGCCTCCTTCGGGGTTTGCTCGTCGGAAGGCCGGTTGCCGGTTGTTTTTGGGTCGTAGTTCAGTCAGAGCTCGAACCTTGCGGAACTCGGGGACAGGCTTTTGCCCTGCAGGATTCGATCGAGCGGGAGATTTGGGTCCATTGGAGTAGGCTGCGTCTAGATTGGCCACGGCTGAGGAAGGGTAGCCCTCTTGGGACGAGGCAAAAGGCGTGATTGGCGGCAGCTGTTGACCAGCCTGACGCCCGGCGGCATAGTAGGGACTCTGAGGATACTCCGGCTGGCCACTCGGGGACTGCGTTTGAGGGGGTGGATTCGCAAATTGGCTCGACTTGGGTGCGTAGGGAGAGGTCGGAGACAGCGTGTCCATGGGCGAGTATCGTTGAGCAGCAGAAGAAGGCTGTTGCTCATGGGGCATCTGAAGGTTGGAGGAGCGACCACTAGAAGCGTGAGACTGGTGGTGCGGTCTCATGGGATATTTGATGCCGGCATGGGCGTCGTGGGCGTCGTGCATAGCAATGTCTCCGTTGCCGTCGCGAGAGGGACCCATGGACATTGGGGAAGCGGCGGCCGGATTGGGATTGCCAGGTCCCGGAAGGTTGATGGCATGACCATGACCATAGGCGTGAGGGTGGGCGTGGACGTGGACTTGAGGGAGAGCGGCGCGGTGATATTGGCCATGGTCAGGACCGTAGGCCGCGGCGGCAGGAGGAGGAGGTTGACCGGCATAGTCTCTGGGCATTTGTCCGCCGCCGTTGTGTCGTCGCGAGGCACCGGCCGAGTCGGGATATTGCTGCCACGACGGATCCATGTTGGGCAGAAGGGGGGGAACGCAGGACAGCGGCGAGGGCAGCGGCGAGGGCGACGACGGGAATCGACGAGAAACGGCGAAAGCGAGGGCGAGGGCGCAGCGACCTGAACCTTGACAACAGCAGCAGCAGGGACGGCGGTGAGGTGCGCGCAGGACCGCCGTTCAACGCGACCGACGTCGATGGAGAGAGCCAAGGTGCAGAGAGGCGACAGAGAGGCGCAGGATGCAACAGGAACGGGCGGCGTCGCTGCGAGCTGGCAAAGCTCCCGAGCTCCAAGAGGGACGGCCAGATGATGATTGTGGTACAGAATGGACTGGTGTCTGGTGGTGCTCAATGTTGGTCGCTGGGGCGGACGGTCTGTCGTCTGGTCTGGTCTCAACTGGTCTGGCGCTGCTGCCAGTACGTACGTTGTACCTACCAGTTGGCCCGCGGGTACGTCTGGTCCGGTCAACTACTAACTACTTAAGTAAGTAGGACTAGTAGCTTGGTTGCTTGGCAGAGTAGCACTGGCCGGACGGGAGCACTGTACATGTACTTAGTATGTACTCCGGCCTGTACTGAAAGTACTTGACTTGAGTGCTCTGCCGCCCAGAGTGCTTGCTGCCTCCCTCAAGTGCTCCCTCGAGTTGCTCTCTCCCTCCCTCATACAAGATGGAACCAGTCGACCCGAGAAGGCACCTGGGTTGGGCGGAGCTCAAGCAGCCACCAATTGACCAGACTCACTGCAGCCAGGTTGGGTGAGAGAGTGCGTACCAAATTGCTGTATGCGGGTTGATTGAGGGTTTCAAGCTGCCGCATCAATACGAAGCCGATGGATTGATTGCAGCCGCCGCTGAGCTCGAAATGACGGGCTGTTGTAATAAAGTCAATGTAACAGCACCAGACTTGAGTCTGGAGTCAACATTCAATGTTCAAGTCCCAATGGTCCGGCCTGGCCTGGTCCTGACACGGACGGCAACCAGTGCTGACTGGCTGAGCCGACTGGGCTGGGCACCGCGCTCAATTAGGACTGAAAGGTGGGGGGAGACTTGACTGCGGGAGTCAATGTCGATAGTGCTACGGAGTAGTAGTGCTTCCTCGAACCAAGCACAGTAGGCTTGACGGGGATTGGCTCCTCAGGTGCGTTTGGCGCGCTATGCTGCAACATCGCACTGGGCCGGGGCCACCTGAGACGTCAACCTGCGGACATGGACTCGTGCTGGAGGTTGGGCAGCTCGGTCACTCCACCGACGGCCGTGGGGCAGGCGCCCAAGATTTCAAAATGCCTGGCTTCGTGAGCTCGGCAGCCCGTTATTGTTTGGCACAATCACGCCAGTCTGGTTATCGCAGGAGACAGGGGGTTGGCCACGAAAGGAAAAGCAAGCGATGCAAGAGGGAGCAGGAGGAGCAATTTGTCACAGAAGACTGCATTTATTGTCTGAACCACGAGCTCGGCTCTTGTGCAACAGGACGCCTTTCCGGTGGGTTGGGGGGCACAATGGAAGAAAACCAACCTTGACAAGAATGGATTGACCCCAAGCTGGCGCAAACTTCAACCACCAGCAGAAAAATGGAAGTGACTAAGTTCAGTGTTGGTACGTACATACTAAGTACGGAGCAACCATGATGTGTCCACGATGCTGATTTGCTGACATGGTCCCGAGACGTGCACATGGCCAAGCATCTACAGCTACTCCGTACGTGTGTACTGGTAATAATAGTAATGCCGTGGCTGCCGTGTTGCCCATGCATGCCGACCTGCTCGGTACCGTTATGTGTCAATGGTACTCGGCGTTCAATGGCGTCGACTGCATCAGTTCTCCCAAAGAGCAGCCAAACAGGGCACCCAGAGCCACCTCATCACACACCCAACTTGCGCTCAACATCACATACATAGCTACTAGACGCGCGGGGGCTGCCCGCATTGTGCACGTGGAGAGCATAGCTCGCTCATCATCATCATGCCACACCAAGCAAGCTTCTTGCCCTCAAGTGCTCGACAAAGGATGCACGCACCCGGCTTCTCCGCCCATGGAGATTCGAAAGCGCCAACCAAGACGCGACCCAAACTCTCCAGCTTGCGCCCGTCAGAACCCCCATGTCAACTAGTCTCTATATCCATTTGAACATATCACCATCGCGCAACGACGAAAAAAAAAAAAAAAAAAACACCTCGCATTGATCCGCAACGCCATCGCCACGGGCTCCCATCCCATCACGCTCGTTGTCTCAGCTCCTTGCGAGCATTGCTCGTTCAGTGGCTCGACGAGGGTTCGTCATCATCATATCCAGGGTTGCCGAGTTATCGGCTCTTGTCCTCATGCTGGCGCTAAGAAACGCCTCGTTGTGACATGGCAAAAAGGCTGTCGTTGGCTGAGCATGCATAGAACGTCATACAATGGGCAGTCTTCCACGCTATGTTCTATAGAGTACCCATCTGTCCATGAGAGCCAGGTATTTTCGCTTCTGCCCAGTAGGTGTAGATGCGAGAGCAGCTACTGCTTCAACAACATGTCTGATTCTATTGTCATAGACAACATGCATAGCTGGACCAGGATAAACACATGTATGTCTTGGCTTGTCGACTTTTAGCATGCTGTCCCCTTTTTCATATCATACACGAGTTGGTGCAATTATTATCGATGCATCTCATGGTAGCCCCAGTAGATTCCAAAATCTTGCAATCTCGAGTCTTTCTTACCATTTCGACTAACTATCCCTGTCGTGTCTCCTTCCAAGTGATTCATCTCACTAGCGCCAGAATAGACCATCGACTCCATGAGGAAGGGATGCTCAAATATTGTAAACCAGATCCAGCACAAGCTCCCACATCACTCCGCCTCCGTCCCTCCCAGCCATGGCTTCTTCATCCACTTTGTTTTACAGGATCCTCTAGCCTACTTTCTTCCAAGGTCAATGCAACTCATGGTATGCGTGACAGTGTCAATCTTGCGTCGATGAACGTCGACCACCAAGAGCCAACGCAGCTTCCCTCCAAGACATGCGGCTTCCCAGCCAGCCTGTGTGCTAACAAATAAAGTTGAGCAAAAGAAAATGCCATGCGAGACTATTTTTGCTCCCAAGAGGAAACTGAGCCAACTAATGGAAAATAAAAAACTTGAACCAGAAACGCGCAAGATTAGACAGTTATTGTTAGGCTTCGACGTAAGAAATAACAAAAATGGTATCTTGAAAGCGGTAAATGTTCTTTGGCCCCGTCAGCAAAGAAAAGGGGGCGGCATGGTGTTTATTCGTTAGTCGTCAGGTGCACATAGCACATTGGGAAACTTTTCGCGACAATTTCAGCAAAAAACAACAAACATGATATATGGAAATCACACACAAAGACAGCTGAATAGTTGCCGATCCCACCTACTCAAAAACGAGAGACAGAGAAAGAAGTAGAAAGAGGAACGTAATCATCGTAGAAGAAGTAGAAAAGAGAGAATATGAAGGAACAAAACATGATGAAGCATATCGCTTGAGAAGAGATAAGGGTATGAGACAGGTACGGAGAGATCCCAAAAAGACAAAAAACGAACATGCTTCTTTTAAATGTCCATTCCGTCCAGGGCAGTGCACTCTTGTTCCAGAATCATGTCATCCAAACACGAGCCGGCCTGATGTCGACACTGTTGCCTTTTGTTCAAGACTGATAACCGCCAAATCCATTGTTGAAGTTTTGCCCAGGCCCAGGTTGGTTCCATTGGCCATTGGGGCCCTGTTGGCCTCGACCAAAACCTCCCGCACTCTGAGGCCCACCGTATCCCATGGGAGAGCCGCCATATCCTGCAGGCGAGCCACCTTGAGGCCCTGCAAAATTGCCTGGCTGTCCGCCATATTGGGCTGATTCGACACATGATTAGCTGGTGGCTACACACACAAACGTGACAAGCAAAAATGAAGAACTTACTGCCGTATTGAGGGTAGTACGTGGGCGTTCCTGGAAAGCCCGGGGTCTGGGCACTCTGAGGACTGTATGGCTGCTGATGGGCAGGGTCAAAGTTTCCTTGAGCGTTGGGTGTCTTGTCCTTGCCCCACTGCGTAGTATTGTCGTTAGTGATTAATTGTCACGCGAAAGTGTCAAGGAGGGAGGACCATCATGCAACTTACACTGCATTTGAGTGGTCGGCCGTTGACGTTATATCCATTCATCTGGCAGATTGCCATGGCTGCATTCTCGTGGGAATCCATCTTGATAAAGGCGAAGCCGCGGTCGGCCTGGAATCGCGATTCGACAACGAATCCAAAGTTCTGGAAAAGGGGAACCACGTCATTGGGGGTGGTATAGGGTGTCAGATTGCCCACATAGCAAGTAGTTTGCCAGTTAGGAGTCTGGTTCAAAACCACATCGTAACTGCCCACGCCGTGAGCCGGGAACTGATGGTGGCCAAAGGGAGTCGTGGGAGTCAGGCCCATAGCCTGCATCGCCTGCTGCTGTGCAATGGAAGGTTGGCCCTTCTGGTTGGCCCAGTTGCATCGAATAGCTCGCGAGCCCAACCACTCGCCATCCATAGAGCTCAATGCCTTTTCAGCATCTGATCTGTCCCGGAATGCGACGAAACCGTATCCTCGGGTCCGGCCAGTCTTCATGTCCCACATGACACGAGCCTCAGAGACAGTTCCAAAGGCGGAGAACGCTTGGAGGAGAATATCATCGTTGACCTCGTTGGAAAGATCGCCAACAAAGATGTGAAAGTGACTGGAAGTATCCTCCTTATTCGAAGCGTTGGACTGATACGCCCAGTTGACTCGGATTTCCTGGCATCGGGGTGTTAGCAGCGGGGAAAAGAAGGCAGAACTTCAAGACGTCGTTGAGAGGGCTTGACAGTACCGATTGATGGACCCTACGGCCATTCAGGGTTGACATGGCGCGCTCCGCAGCACCAGGGTCGTCGTATTCGACAAAACCGTAGTTGAATCCTTTGGCCTACAGAAACCGCAGCGGTTAGATCAGTGCGCTCTCATAAAAGATGCCAGGCCGGGTGATGATGTATGGATGGTGCTCGTTGCACATAGCGTACATTCTTGTCGGGAATAATCTTCACATTCTGAACATGACCCGTAGTCTCAAAGATTTGGCGAAGAACGTCCTCGGTTACACGCTGCTCCAAGCCTCCAACGTACAGCGCCCGCTTGTTAGGCTCAGGGGCTGCCCGTCGGAAGTTGCCTGAACCCCCAGGTGACATCATACCGCCATTATCTCCACCAGAGAGGGGAGATGTAATAGCAGTCGGGATGGGGTTCGTGTTCTGCGGGATGTGCAACGGAGGTGGTGGCAAATGAGTCGGGTTTCCTTGGCCATTTTGGCCAGAATTCCCGGCCACGGCCTGTGCCTGGGGAGGCAACTGGGTTGAGGCAGGAGCTGCAGAGGTATCCGTCATTGTGTTCAAAGTGCCAAATTGCCAAGGCGCTCAAAAATAGGAATACGTATAATGAAGTCACTGTATCCTGCAACTGTAGGGTTGGGCGTAGACAAATTCAGGTAGGGACGGTGTCGCTGTCGCGTCCCTCGGCGATGCCCAAGCAAGAGCAAAAAGCTAGGAGCTACAGGCAACAAAGAGAAAATAATAGAAGAAATGACAGGAGACGGCGGCAGGTAATAAAGCTCGGACGGAGGAGGCAGTGCGTCTGAAATAGCTCCAGGCGTCGCAACGAGCAGACGCAAAGGTCGATTCGGTTCGTGGCAGCAGAAATGCAGTCGTTACATCAAAAGGAGGTCCTCACGAGTACGGCGAGCACCGAAATGGAGGAGCTCGCGAGGGTCGTAGAAATTGTTGAGGGACGAAACTCGGGAAAATACGACGATGAGGAAAAGGCACCGAAGCTCAACGCCCGCAAAGGAATAAAAAAGGAAAATAAAGGACACCAGATTACCGGGTCGAAAATCGCCAACGCAGACGCTCCCGTTTTGATGCTGGTTAAAAAGTTGCCTTTTTTTTTCTGGCAAGGTCCTCCGACGAGTAAATGAGAGAGGTGCAGGACGGAGGGATTGTGGAGGTTAATTAGTTAGAGGACCGAAGACGGTTAGTGGCAGCCCTCGGACACCAGACTTGAGCACTTGAGCTCAGACGGACGGGACTGGCTCCGAGGGCACAAAGGCCAGGCTTGAGCAGGTACTCGTGTACTTGGATGTACATACCTCAGGGCCATTGCCGTACGGAGTACTCAAGGTCGACTGGTGGCGGTGGGGGCTCACCCATCAGAGTTTAATGATTTGGACATCCAGAGCTTGGCGAGGTGGGGGTGCCTTAGGTGCCGGGCGGTTGGCACACAGTTGGCAGCCAGGTGGCAGGCATGGCAGGCATGGCAGGCGTGGCAGGTAAGGCGGGTAAGGGGCAGGTAAGGCAGGCGGTGGCATGACAGTGCCAAGTTAACCGCCCGTCACTGAGCCAGTTGAAATCGGGACAATGAAGTGATTGGATGGGTGATTTGGGTGCTCACAAACACACTCCGCACATGTAATAAGTGGGATGGTACCAGCCTCAAACATTCAAGTATTATTACGACCGATGCGAGTTGCGGCGAAGCATACTCTAGACACTCAACACTCCGGCACTCGGGCAGGCAGGCAGAGACGCGGCCCGCAACCAGCGACATAGCGCTGCCCGTGTCGAATTCCAGTTGAAAAAAAAAAGTTGTTCAGACCGTTTCATAGACCCAATCAAACGCTGCAGCCATCGACGCTTCAACAAGAAGGTGGTGCCGCCGGAATTGGCCGCATCCTCACGCCCAACATCAACCAAATATACACGGCTCAAGAGATCGTGCTCGAAACGCTCACGACACCGGGATTGTGGTGGACATGAAGAATGTAGTTAAAGAGGCAAGTCACGCGCCCCAGAAGATAGAAGTGTATCATGCATGCACTGGCTCAAAAGATCGAGACTGGCGCGTATAATTATATGCATAAGTCCCTTTCGCCCGCCGACGCAGCACGTGCCTCTTACTTTAGCCATTGATCTGCCTTGGACCAGACTGTATTGGATACTGCAAGAGAACGATAGCATTGCACTGATAAAAGCGGCGGCCTCTCGGAGTTGGGCGCTGTTGTCCTCAAAGGTGCCGTCTTGGAGAGGCCGGATATCTTGGTCCTACTTCACCAATCTAAAGGGCGACAAGGACGCTCTAGATGATAAATCAGTTGAGAAATATTATAGGAATCGCCGTCTCCCAAACCCCGGACAGGATAGGCAGACGCAAGACAGACAGGTAGCGTGGAATTATGCGATGCCTGTCCATGTTCTGCATTGTCCAGTTGTATTGATGAAATAGCATGCCTCCAACTTTGGTCAACAGAGGTCTACACTGTCATGGGGCCATGTCTCGTATAGCCGACTACCATGTAGCGGATGATTGTGACGTCTTTTAGTGTGCTATACAATTATATCAAACCAGTGGGCTGACTCGCAATTTGTTGCATAGAGTTTCCATGTACTCAAGGCTGTTGTCCCGTTAGTTTCTGACCTGAGAGAATAAGCAGGCATACTTGATGCCAATGCAGCTCCTGCTTCCTTCCGAGAACAACACAATGTATCTCTCGAGATGCACCTAATCCATCGCTGCGGGTCAAAGACGTCTGGGTCGGAAAGATGGCAATGTTGCGATGAATGATGTAGCTAGAGCTACTTATTGGGGTCTTGTCCTGGTGCTAGCTGGCGAAATATTGACACGAAACGGCTCAAATAATACATGCGCCCAGGGGCATGACGTAGCCGTTATAGTTTAGGAATTCTGTCGGCGCAACACGGGGAAGCCGCCCCATTGCCTCGTGAGATAAGCGCAAAGACTTGTTGATGACAGCAGACTTTATGTGGGTGACCAGTCTAGTTCACTGTGGAATCCTGTCCAACTTATCCATGCGAGTCAACTCACAAGATAAGGCGATTTAGCTAGTTTTTGCCAAGTACTCATGTGAGTTGGCATTGGTAGGATCTCCTTCAACTCCGAACGCAGCTTGTCGCAGAAAGTTGGCTGAGCACCTAGATGGTGGGCTTCAGTGACAAGAACACGCGCCGTGTTTTTTTTTTTTTTCGGCGCCGAGAACGGTGAAAAGTTTATTCCCAAGTCGATTTGGCGGTTCTTTCTTCTGGCGGGATACTCGGACGGGTGATGGCAACCACCTTGGTTCCCATCATGGGCACGGGGCTAGGTCCTTGCCCGGGTTTGTCGAGTTTATTTGCGTTTGTATTTGCAGTTGAATACGTCAGAAATGACTCTAGATATGGAAACAGCGCCGAGTTTCCTGGCATGAGCTTCGAAAATGTCTCCAGGGAGACTAGGTGCCATATATATGTAAGTCGGGGAAAGAAGCGGTGAATATGGGCAAAGTCCAGGGTGTCCTCTGCGGCGCGACGAGCATCGTTTCGAACATGTCCGTCTTCGAGAAACTTCCAATACCTGCAGCGGCAATATGACGATATCACATCGGATGTCAAGGCTGCAAAGGCCATCTCCAAGCAGAGCACGGCTCCGTTCATTTCGGACTCTTGGAAGCGAGCCATGAGCTTTTGTGTCCGCTCACTGATGATCCTGGATAGGTTTAGGACAGAACGCTTGGAAAAGTAGTCGTTCAGAATGCTGCGTCGAAAACGGTGATGAGCACTTCGCCTGTGGCCGAAGCTGGCGGCGATACCCCTATATCAGCCATGATTTATACGCAGTCAAAGTAGAAAATGTACACCTTCCCATATAACTAGACGAGAATAGCATGAAATGACTTCAAGCTGTTTTGAACAAGAAGGGTCCAGCATTGTCAAACAAGGGATGTCAATTCTGGACATTGAATCAGCCACACAATTTTCTACCCCGCCTTTAACCTTGTCTAGTCCCACTAGTGCCCGGCGCCCGCCAACCCGCCTCCGCCTACTACAGACACCCCCAGCCCGTGCAACATTTGAGCACTGTCACATACGTCTGGTATGTACGGAGTATGTTCGTGCCTTCCTTCCTCCATCAAACCGCACCCAAAACAACATGAAAGACATGCCAACACTTGAACCCCTCAAATCCCCCATCATATCCCCGCTCAGAGACCAAGACGTCTCGTCTCACCTTGCTGTCCAGAGAGGGCGGTGACGACTAGGTCAGCTTGTTTGCCTTTTCCGTCCCGAACAACTCTCGGGTATTCTATCCTGGAATAGGCTCTCCCCTTGTAAGCAGGTGTTTTTTTTAACCAGCCCTGCGTATGTCATCGCCCTGAGTTCTAGCTTACCTCACTGTTCACATTCTCCTTGGACACACTGATTCATGTCGAGATTTGACAATACGACCTTGGCCACGGCTTGGTGCGTCAGTGCCACTATCAATGCTTGTAGGCATTGTGGCCATAGGTTCCATCCATCCCCGGCCTCGATCGAACTATGTTTCCACCCAGGATAACTAGGTGAGAGGCGATACACGTCTTTGTCTAGCCTGCATGGTCCCTGTAACTGCAGACTCAAATAACAATAATTGCTGTCAGCGCTCCCAGGCGTCCCGGCGTCGTGGAGATCAACCAAGACATGCGTCTTATCGTATACTAGCCTGGAAACTTGGGAGGATGCGATTCGTCCCGATGCCAATAACTCATTGACATGGGCGCTCATGTGCCTGCTCTCTTGCAGGAGGCTGGATGGCAGAGAGCCGTTTTCTCGGTCCCTGTTGCCACCCATCCCAACGCTCCGGGCCCGGACCCCTGGGCTCTCGTTTTTTCTTTTCTTGTCTTTTTTTTTTTCATTTAACAAGCCGTCATCATGAATTTACGCAATACTAGTGATCGAAAAGCTTCAACAGAGACCGCCACCATTCCTGAATAATTCTCACTAGTCGTCGATGGACGCGGTGAGAGTGGAAGTTGTGTTTACGTACTCCGGAACCTAAGCTGGCTTGAATTGGACCAAAAGGAAAAACAAAGCCGGGGAGGTCCAAATGGCGGAAAACAAACCAGACCTCATGTAATCACCACCGCATTATGACGCCATTTTCCCGAAGTATTGAAGTAGCTGTATGAGTATTCATGACATCTGGAACTAAAATTTATAGTCCCAGTGCTGTTTATAGTGGTGCTTCCCAGGCGCACTGGCCATAAGATACATGCATGTGTCAATATGCACAAGTGATGTCAACTGGTCCGACACAAGGTCTGGTGGTCCAGTGACTCCAGTCTGGACTCTGCAGTGCTTGCATGTGGGGGTGCGGATATCACGCACCTCTCCAGCGCCCCGCCCCTGTGGCTGTGACTAGGGTCTGTTGACTGCTCAAGCGAGATCAGATCTTGCATCAACCGGCAGTACAACGACAGTCCGCAAACATGCTGGGGAATTCTATCACGTCAACCGCGCCCTGGCCAAGGCAGAATGCTCACTTGTACGAGGCAGCCAATAGGCACGACAGGCTGTAGGGTCCGAGACCTAAGAAGCAGTGACTACCCAAGTTACTTGGGGCAAACCGTCATGGAACGTCAAGGAAGCACCGTTTCAATTTCAAGTAAGATTTTGAGGCGACTTTAACCAGACTGCAGTCACCCTGGCTCAACTCGCCTTGTTACCCACGCAAGCCGTTCCATATCCAACGCGCCAAACACACCCAACTCCAGTACAGCCTGGGCAACCCGGTCAATGTAATTCCTCGAGCTCAGGTCACATCGACTGTCAATTTATTTCACTTCATTCGGATATGGTTTCCTGCCCCAGACAACGAATGTAGGCATGTACGAGTGGATACGTGTATCGTTAAGGTCCCGGCGAACGTCGACGAGAGACACCTAGATTAGGCGCCATCAATACCCGGCACATGCGACCTGTGTGCGTTCAGGACTTGCTCACCTCGATTTCGGTAGCAGACCGATTAAACCCGTGATGAAGAAGCTGGTAAGAAAAAGCCGATAGTCCCTTCAGGATATTAGCACCCCATAGCAGCCCAACTTGCTTGAGAAGACGGTTCTTAGGCCACGGGTTGAGAGGCATTTTATAGACACGCTGCTGCACATCGACGAAGCCGACCCGCTCATACGCTTTCTTCAGAATAGGTCCTAGGAGTACAGGGCGATTCAGCTTCTCCGCAGCAACCATCAGATCGTTGATCCATGTGACAATTGGACCATTGGGATCCAGGCTACCGTCGTCACAGCTGATATTGCAGTCCACCTCTTGAGACTCAAACCAACCGCCCGGTTTGAGAGCGGCAAAAGCCTGCGCAATGACCTGGGTTTCAAAATCGGCCCAGCAGCCGCCGGTCAGCCGCGTGTGGACAAAGTCGAATTTATACGGGAAGTCCCAAGGCTCAGTGCTACAAGGTCATCCATCATGTTAAGATTAATACAGCCATCGTATATGCGTGACAAGGATACAACAGAAAGTGACAGCAGAAGCAAGGCTGGGAACTGCCTGGTGGTTTCTCAACCGTTGGCACCTACGAGTCTTCAATATAAAACCGAACGTTGGGAGGCACAATTACTGGTTGTATGGGGGACAGATCGGTGGCAATGATTTGCGAGTCGGGAAACTCGTCGGCCATTTCGATAGGCCAATCGCCAATGCCTGTGGCGAGGTCGAGAATATATCGTGGAGGAGCTTCGGCAGAGACGGGAGCAAAGAAGAGCTTCCCACCCATGAGCCTCTGCATGGCCAAGTGCTGGATCGCCAGTCTCTCCTGCTCCAACTCATCGTTGGGGAAAGCATAGGCTAGAGCTCAAGACTAAGCCGTTGTGCTTCACGGGGGACGACGACATGTAGAAAAGGGCAGATTCTTACACCCAGCATGGAAGGCGTGATAGGTACGACCAAATAACTCGGGGTAGTTTTGGACGCTCTCAGATAGTGACATGTCTGACAGTGATGCGACATCGCTCCTATACGGATAAAGGATTCAATTGTTAGAAGGTGAAGATATATTGCAAAATAGCTGGTGCTGGGTCCGTTGTCGTCCCAGCTTCACGAGAATGGAAGAGCTTACATTTCATCAAACTGGCACCAGGTGGCTCCCAAAGCTACGTTAGCAAGCAAAGTCTCTGGTTGGAAGCTTTTGGCTTCCAAATGTTGGGGGGTTGGCGTACATCGGGTTCAATCATGAGCATGGATGACTCGAAGGTGAACTCGAAATCGCATGGAGCGATGCTGTTGCCATTGTTGTCACCGAAAGCATTTGAGCCAAGACGGCTCTGTGCGTCTTCTTGCATGGCTGGTTCAATGCTGACAGCCACTGCAAATCGTCTGCAGTGTCCTGTAGAAAATTGTGTGGTGTTGTTAGAGGAGGTAGATGCGAGATATAGCTGAACCGGACTTTTCTTGGGCTTGGGGGTGCACGTCCCGATGCATATCAACATAAGTATGAAAGCTCTGGCATCAATAGTACTAGTGATAACATGACATGGAGCGGCGGGTTGAAAACGTCGGTGAGTCCTTCCGTACCTAGGTGCTGGGTGCAGGCTTGTGCATGCTTGTGCATGCTTGTGCATACCGGCGGTGCACACGCCTGTGTCGGCCTATAGATGGCCGTGCTCTCAATCACCTACTTGGTAGTTGGTAAGTAGCTGAGGCAGCCAACGCGATGGACACATGGCTGAGATGCAGAGAATCGTGATGCGACGGAGAGTTTCATTCGGTCTTGTTCGATTGTCTGCCAAGGTATCCCGCCCAAAGCGGTGTGAGCCGTAGTGACGGTATCAAGCACCCAGGCTCTAGCCGCGCAGATGGACCACTTGAGCGGCTGGCCGTGTTTGGGGCGTTCGCCTAGCTGCGCTGCGGTTGGACGTGTTACACACTCAGTGGCCCAAGTTCGACAACTCAGCCGCAATATTCGAGCCTTTTGTGCCGTCAAAGCAGTCAGCATCATGACATTGAAACCGCTGACAAAACACGCGGGCCGCAGTGGCAAGGCGACGCCGGCACCTGGGATCAACATGCTAGGAGGTATTAGGTAAAGAAGTACTCAGCCCAGTACCATTCAAGGGAGCTGTTTTACGAGAACGGACTGAGCAGGCACGGCACGGCGAGATAGAGCTGAAGGATGACCCCGGTCAGCCTCCCCGAGACAGTGGTTATTGAGTGGACACAGACAAGCCATGACATCACTGTTTCGGTTGTCGTTAAGCGCTAGAGCCTCGTCTTTTCTATTTCATTTCCTCTCTTTACATTTGTAAAAATGAGCTCTATTAGACAGCGCAAAGAGTTCTCAGCTAAGCTAGTGTTGTGATAGTCGAGGTCCGGATTGAATACTTGGTACGGAGTACTCCATGGCGCTCGGGTCGCCCGGGTTCCACCATCGGCGCCACCGAGCGGCCGGCAGCCGGGAACCGGGAACCGGGAGACCGGGAACGGTATCACAGACGAACCCGTCCAGCTGTTTCCACAGCGACCTTGGCTCGACAACTTGATGCTGCTAAAGGCCAGTGGCGTGGAAATATGTACCTCGCGCGACGTCGTAGCTCGGAGTCTCGACGGTTCGTCGGAACGTTGCAGTGTTCCTGCCTCTTGTGGGAGGAGCCGACTGACTGGGCAGGACCAGATCGGGATAACTAAGCCGGTCCGGGTCTCGTCGTGGTCCTGGAACACGGACCTGGGCGTGGTCAATACGGCACCCCAATATTCTGTTGGTTGTCGGGTAACCACCCACTATCTGTACTCTTTAGCTGTAGCCGTTTTTTTTTTTTGTCTCATTTTCACCTTTTGTTTTCCGGCCATCGCCGTCATCGATTGAGTCAGTGTAAGTTGACCGACTACTCCGCACTCACAGGGGGGAATCCCACAGTCGGCACACGCGTTCCAGGGTAGGCTAGAGGCTGCACCAAGACGCTGACTAACACTGTCGTCTTTAACCCATGTTCACATGGCGCTTTGGCTCGCTCGCTCGTCGCCGACACTCTGCGTCCCTCGACTATCGGCCATCCATCGTTCCTACCCATTTATAGAGCAACCACGCACGCACAAGTACGACAACCGCTCCCTCGTCGCATCACCCTGTCGGACAGTATAAATTGTTGATCCACTGCTTCATCATGACTACGCCCAAGGCAAAAGACCCGTTGGACGCCCTCCAGCTGCTCGTCAACGATGTGGTAAGTGTGCCTCTCCCCAACGTCCAGCTCTCAACTTCATCCCCATGTCGCGCGCCATTGCGCAAGTTCAGGCTGCTTCAGAATGGCCAACCATGCTAAATCGTTCGCAGCTCGTGCAAACCGGCAAAGCCCTCCGTGCCTCGCGACGAGACAGCCAAGGTAACTTTCCTCCTTCTCAGGGAGTGCTGCAGCCCAAGCTGCCAGACACCATCAGGGCCTTCCACTCGGCTCTTGACGATCTCGAAAACGACATTGTAAGAATGAGAATTATTCCATTCCCACCCCTGGCCCTTGCGCCTGGCGCTTGGAAATGTCGCCAATTAATCATTCATTAGATTCGTGCCAAATCTGTGCTTCTCCGCGATCTAAATCAAATAAGGGCACAGAACCATTCTTCTGATGAATCACGGTCGCTCGCCCAAACAACGCAGTTGGAACCACAGTCAAAGTCTCCCATGGCCATAGAGATAGAGTCGTCGCCGCAGGCAGCCCCAAAAGAGGAAGCAATCGAGAACGATGGCCCCGGCAACAAGCCTGTCGGCGCCCCTATTCCAGACATGGGCATGGGCCTAGGCTTGGATCTGGGCATATCGGACCTGGCCCAGCCTACTGTCTCAATCAAGGAAGAGAATATATCCTCCCAAGCCCTAATTGGTCTCCATGCAGGGGGCCCTGGGCCTGTCAAAACGGAAAGCAAAGAATCAAATTACGAGGCGCCGATTGCACCGATGGATGTGACACTAGAAGGGACCCAAGCCAATATTGGTGGTGGTGGTGGTGGCGGCGGCGACGATACTGTGCTGGAATTGACAAACTCAGACTTGAACTTCACCGACATGGAGTTTACCTTGGCACCGACAGCCCCGACGAATGATAACCAAAACCAGCCAGGTAGCGATGGGAATGCAGCTGCCAGCAATACCGAGCCGTCGTTTGATCTCTCTTCGTTTGGTGCTACAGACGGCGCAACCGGCAGCATGTCCTCTCTGGAAAATATGCTGCCGGCCAATTCGACAGAGCAACCAGCCCCTACAACAAATGCACCAGAAGGACGGCTGGCAGATGGTCAACCCCACACAGAGGCGGAAAAGAAGGAGCCCATGGCTGAACCAGCATTGGCAGACGTGTTTACGGGCGGCGGGCAGACCGACGGCATGGACTTTGACTTTAGTCTCGGAGACGGAATGGGTGGCGATACGTTTGACGATCTCATGAATGACCGTGATAACACGTTCGATACTATGGAGCACGGTGACTTTGATGCTAATTTCTTCGGCCTCGATAAAATCGACGAGGCTTAGCGAGCATTCTAAAGAAGAGGTGGAAAATTAAAAAAAAGAAAAAAAAGAATCAATCCAACCAGACCCTGCGGCGTTTTTCTTGCGGAAGATGACATTGGTCAAAGACAGGACATTGAAGAATGAGGCGCGGGGAAACTTGAGTTTAAGCATGGGGGTGTGTGGTACAGGGGCCTTTTCTTCTTCTTCTTTGGTTTATTTTACAAAGGAAAAGTCTAGTGTTCTTGATGTAACGCATGTACAAACCATTGGACCCGGGTGTACGCAAACATGACTTTTTACATTGGCGGAAATTGGGAACTCAGGAACGGTATTTGAGTTGGCACGTCTAGGAATTCACGATAGCAAGTATTATTGTCACAAATACAGATATACCCATTGTTTGGAAAATTGATGAGAAGTTTATGGCTCTGGCATCCCACTGGGCTGTTGGTACATACAAGAGATAAAACCTGATTGGTATGGTTTCTCCCGGTTGAATATTTCTGCACGCTTGTATACACATCGCATACGTATCATGGTCCTTGAGTAACGGCAAACATGTTGCCCAGCATGCCCTTGAACTTGGGGTTTCTCCAGTCGGACCACTCGTAGTCCAATGCACCCCACGTCTCGTTGTAGTCGACAGTCTTGTCACGGACGTAATACGACCCCTGGACAGCCCAGTGAGCCCAGTCTGCGTCATTGTTCTCCATGTACCCTACCAGACACGTTAGATAGTCGTTGTCCTGATTACTGAGACCGTCGTGCGGACCACCAGTCATGCCGACACCGAACTCAGAAAGGAGCAAGGGGCCGGTGCTAGCCTTGTTCTGCTCGAGCACGAATCCAAACAAGCCGCCGAATTCGGCCTTGCGAATGTCGCAGCTTCCAAGACTGGGCGTTACGACGGTGAAGCTGTACGCGTGGGCTTCCCAGACACGCTTGTCGGCCCAGTTCCCGAGCTTCATGGCGCCGTTGCGGAGCGGGGAGAGGTCCGTCCCGCCGTTGATGCCGCCGACAATGACGAGGAGTCGAGGGTTTTCGGCGTGCACGACGTCTCCCGCGCGAGGCATGTACTTGAGCCAGGTGCTGGGCGCCCAGGGAATCTGGGCGATGTGTGCGCGCAGCTCGTTGCGCAGAGACATGCCAACAATGCCGGGGCGTGAAGCGCTCCATTGAGCCATGGATTTGAGGCCGTTGAGCCATTTCTGCGTGTTAAAGTATCGGCTCGTGGCTGCCACGTAAAAGTTTGCGTCGTTCCACCACCCGTTTCCGTCGGACAGGTCACAGCACCAGCTTGCTTTGCTGACATGGTTATCGAGGATTGTCATGACGCCGCGGTTCCAGAGAGCAGATTGCACTCTATCAAAGACGTCGAGAACAGTGGCGCCAGATAGGAAGGAGTTTTTCTCGACGGCCGCCGTATATACGCGCATCATGTCAGCTTCCGAGACTCCTGCTGCTGTAGCTGCCGCGCGGAATGAGTCTTGGACTTTGAGGGCCGGGTTGAGAGCCATGTCGATGGAGTAGGTCAGGCGAACACAGTTGTAGCCCTGCCCGGCGATCCAGTCGGCGATGTGCTCGATGTGCTTCTTGTTCAGGCCCTCGGGAACGTTGGCCTCCATGTGACCGGCCCAGTTGATACAGCGCAACTTGACTCTCTTCCCGGCCGAGTCGAGGATCCAACGACTTGACGAACGAAGCGGCACATTAGGCTTCTCTACTGCAGACGCAGCGAAAGCGAGACAGCCATAGCTGAGGGCTAGTAGTTGCACCATGAATTTCATTGCTGTCGAGTGAGGCCGCAAGTTCTCACGGGGAAACGATGCTTGTTAAGACGAAGAAAAAAACCCTGTGTCGACTTTCGGTAGTGACTTTCTCGGGGCTGATGATAGTTCTCTCACAATGTGAGAAAGCGAGCCAGACTCGAGGAGGCTAGTTCAAAGAAGGCCGAACGCAACTGTCAAACGCGCACCTTGGGCCATGAGCCATGAGGGCCGGTTTTATCGGCCTGAGTCGTCATTTATATCCCAGACGTATATACATACACAAATGGCATGAAGCTTTGATTGCTCGTGACCCAGTAAGATCAAGAGACGAGCCGTTTGTCTTGGCGAATGCAGTCAATAAGCCTAGTGGTGAATCGAGATAGGGTTCAATGTTCGCGTGGATCAAAGCCCACACCATCAATTGGTGGGCCATGTTCCTCTTTTAGACCTGGAACGGGCGAATAGCTCGGACCACGAGCGAGACTGGAGGCGATGGCTACACCCGTACCCTTGCAAGGTGGGAAGTCTCGACGATGGCCAGTCAGAAGTGTTTGTTGACCTCATTGTCCAGGAGTTAAGTGGTAATGGTCGTTGGGTGTGGTGGGCTGCAGGAAATGTCAATACGAGTGGATCGGATCGCCTTGCCCCGTGCTCCTCACCCCAGGCGGCATTTCGTTCTTTCGTTCGATGCGTCGTCGGCACCGCGTTCCCCACCTGCAACAATCTCAGTCGAATGGAGTGGAGAGATGCTTCATCTCAGTCAGCCGTCTCAATCTTCTACTCCGCCCCGAGCTGCAGTTTAACTCCATGGCTGTCAGTGGCGCCCTCCATTGTTGCAACATCAGGCGTCGGTTACACATGCCCTTGGTCGTTCTTGTAGACGTCCTCGAGCTTTTCTAGCGGCCCAAACAGAACAATGTATGTAGGCACGGGCAGGGGCATGAGAACAGCCGGCCAAACCCAAAAGCTTGTCGCATGATACCACTCCGAGTCAAGCCCAAGTGAATATTCAGGTGTCCAAAAAAGAAAAAAAGGGAAAACAAACTCAGTCCGCACAAAAATCAATCCAGCCTTTTCGATTAAATAGAATACAAAATACATGGTTCAACTGTGTGCTTGGCTACCCGAGTGAATACACCACAGGACGCCTGATATCTAGAAATACAAAGAAAAAGAAAACATCTCCCACCAATAAACTGGGATGGTATTGTGGGCATTTAGCCGCTGGAAATAAACAACCTTTGTACTAGAATATAATGTCGCAACGCCGAAGATAATGAAAGCCTGGACAGACAGAGACACCGAGTCCCGTGAATATCCGGCTGGTTTGAACAAAAATAATCAAGTAAATGCAGTGGCTGTCGTGAGTCGTAAACGCTTGCTTTGGGAGTGAGTGGTTGAGATCCCTTTGACCAAGACACTCAGTCCTTTCCAATCTTAGTGTATGAAATTCAATCAAGGTCACAAGGACGAAGCAACCGTCCTCGCCTCGAACCCTCGCCGCTTCGCAAGCAAACTCTTAAAGGCGCCAATGAATTGTACTAGCGTCTCTTCGTCATGGAAACAGAACCTGTAGCTCTTCTCTTCCGTAATGATCTGTACGCAATTGTCCTTGTTCTTGACAGAATCTGTATCCACAACATCGACAACAGCCGAGAGCTCAAGAATCAACTGAGCCGTATATTCATCCTGGTCCTTATAGAGAATGAGGTTTCTAGGTCGGAGTACTCCCCACATTTCCCTCCATGGCCTCACACCTCTACTCCGGAGCTGCCAGAGCCGGCCTTGCCAGATGACTCTGTCAGGATGCTGTTCTCCCGGAGCGCCAAGGCTGCTGCCCATGACGTTGGATATACTGATTTGGCTGCCCGAACGGTTTGTGGTGGCTGGATGCGAAGTTAGCTTTGTGCCCACAGGCGACAGATTCACTACTGCCAGACCGTCCACGGACGCACCTTGAGGTCGCTGTGTCTCGTTATCCGACAGGTCAGAGTGTGACGGTAGTTCATTGCCTGACATGCCCGAGGAGTCGAGAAAATATGACCTTCGTCTATTATCAGCGTCAATGACGAACCCGGGCTCTGGAGGGCCATACGTCTCAGGCGAGCTCGACAACATTCTGTTTGCGTCGCGACCATCCGAGACGTTTGGCATGCCGCTTGTTTTCGCAGACATTAGTCCTGTGGGTGACACACTCCGCGCCAACGGGCTAGAGAGGAACATTTCCTCCTCCTCTTCTATCCTTGTTTCTCTCCGTAATGTTTCGACCCATTCCTGGGCGTCTTGCTGTGACAGCGCTTGAAAGTGATAGTTGCGGGAAGGGGAGAAGAGCCCAAATACATGATCGCGCTTGTGCTTGGGATCTTTGAGATAGGCAACGGCCGAAAGATCTGATAGATGCACCTGATGGCGAAGTTTTGTCTCTCTATTGTTCTTGTATATCGATAGGGTGTTGGGCCGCAAGACAAGGTACACCGTCTTCCAGTTCTGCAGTTACACGTCAGTGAACAGGGCCAGGTTGACGAAAAGACGTCAGGAATTTCTCCAACGAACCTTTGTTTTAGTCCTCTTTTCCACATAGCCGCATTTTATTACCCGATCAGACTCGAAGCAGCCATTCTGGTTGACGTTGGCAAGGGATCTATAGTTTGGTCGGCTTTGAGATAAGGAAGCAACCGCTGTCTGGCCAACATAACCTATGCCGGTACTCTTTTGCGGAGCAACATCAATCGCCTGCGTAGCAGCCATGGTGAACAGTTCTAAAGACGCCCGGAATAGTAACTGTCCCAACTGACTGGGAGGCGAAGGACTCGGTGTATAGGCGTGGTTTCCTAGGTAGAGACGGGTGTTTGAGTAGAGAAAGCTATAGCAGCCGGCGCTTAGCGATTTTCGTTCTGGGGTGAAGCAACAACGCTTCCGTCGAGTCGGACACACGGTCTATTGTGATTCGTACTGCGATGATGTTCACCAGGAGTTTGGGATTTGGGTCCAAAAGGTAGAATCAGGCGGAAATAGACGATGTTATATGGCGGAGGAGAGGCACGGGTTGAGTTGGTTAGCCCGAGCTAGCCTCGATGTTGCGGCGCCGCTGGTGGAATCTAGCGATCGATCCAATTGACAAGGTTAGCAAGGGAAAGCTTCGTCCTCGTCCACCTCTCGCACTTGCTCAACAGCATGAAATAGCGCGCAGTACAAAGTTTGGCTATCACCAAGCTACAGCCGTAGTTGGAAACATTCGGGGCGGGCAAGGAAATTAAGTTGCAGCAGTGCTCGAGACAGCTCAAGACTAAGTTGGGCGGTCAAGACATAATAGTCCGAGGCTCGAGACGGCGGCCGAAGAAGACAAAGAGCCTCACAGCTTGCAGTGACCAGGCGCCGTTGTAGAAAACTGGGTTGTGCTTGGGATGTAGAATGGTGAGGTCGAAACGGGAGGAAGGCGCAGAGCTGGTCGGACAATGAGATGGACAGTGAGTGGCGTTGTGGTTTTCGCGTGCGTGTCGGGTGCACGTGCGGTTCGTATGCTGTTCAGGAAGCAGCGGCAAGTCTTGTTGCAGAAAAGAAAGAATGGATGAATCAATGAACCACAAGAGCAGAAAGACGATGGGAACAAAACGGACTTGCAGACGTGCAGACTTGAAAGAGGCCTGGTCCCAGCACTTGAGCGGATCTGGTTGGCCCCGGAGGAGAGCAGGGGTTGTTTCAGTGTTGGTGCAGCCTCAGCAAATGAAGTCGGGTCGACTTTCACTTTTGGAGTCTGTGAATGCCGCGGGGTGATGAACAAAATGTAAAATGTAAAATGTCACAGGTCGCAGGTCGCAGGTCGCAGGCCACGGAGCAAAGCAAAGCCGTCACTGTCACGAGTCCCAGGCAATCAAAACATTGAAAGCGAAAAGGCGAGTTTCATCCACTTGGAGTCTTTTTGGGGCTGGTTTCGGCCATTGATCAGGTCACGCTCACAGGCTGGATTTGCATCGTCGCAGGGCGTCCGCCACATTTGAGCAACCAGACATATGTACTTAGTATTAGGACACTGAGCACTCCAGCTATTGGTGAGGGGTCAGCAAGCAATTGCACTCGGTGTTCCAGCACGCACTCAATCAGGTGCATACATACAAGGCTTGCGCTTTTGACGTCATGTTCGCTGCACCCGTCCATGTTCAAATGGGTCGTTTGCGAGTGTTTGCCTGAGACGTCGAGGAAGCCGCCTTTTCTTCCCGCGACTGCCGGTCGCTGGGCCCTTTGGGCGATTACGACACCCATGACGAACCGGTGCAGCCTCTAGGTCCTTACTTAAGTGAGTAGACAGAAGAATTGTAGTCTCGAAAGTCTGCGATTGTTGTCTGCCTTGTTCGAATTCCACCAGGCCTGTACAGCCTAGCCTAGGTCGGCGCTTGGCGGGTGCCTGCCTACCAGTTGACATGTAAGCACATGTACCTCTAGGTCGGTACTCTTGCCGCGTGCCGCAGTCATCACCATCATCTGAGCATGTCATTCCTGGTCCGTGTCGTTTTTTTAATCAACGGCCCCGGGCCCTCGTCAACTCTTGGAAATGATGTGTTTCCGGCATTGCCCAAGCTCGTGGCCACATGCCGACTGTGCAACGGCTCAAGTGCCCAGGTGGGTATCGGCGGCGCCTCTGAGAGCTCCAGTCTGCCAGCAGCTGCCCCCCAAAAAAAAAAAAAAAACACTCAGCCACTACACACCGGAACTTTGCAAGCCTCATCAGATCCCGGAACTTATGCCCAAGACTATGTATTTCTCCGTCTATGTCTCCCAAGAATAGAAATAATACATGCGCAAACACACACACACGCACACACACATATATCAACACGGAGGCGTGTGAACCCTTTATTAGCCCGCTCAATTAATTAATCGTGCCAAATGGCTCCCGCATCAGCCACCCCAAAGCCATGCGAGCGTTGTAAAAACCCAGACGCTCCATATGATTTGAGAAACGGCCCAGCATGCCGGTGAGTCGATCACGCACCACACAGACTTGATTGGCTCAAATTTGCGTATTGACAAAAATGAGTCCTACAGCGACTGTTTTGTAGACTATGTTGAAGACAAGGCAGGCCGGCGTCTCGGCGCCGTCGGCCGGGACACCAGGCCCCAGGGCAGACCAGGGCCTCGAAGATATCTCGGCGGTCTGTCGTTTGGGCCGTCCTCCACCGTAATGGTGCAGCTCCTAGACATCTGCGCGAGGTTCTACCTGTCCAAGAAGTCGTCTCCGGCGTTTGAGCCATTGGCCGTCCACGTCGACACGGACTTGTCGCATCCCGCTGACCAGGACGACGGTCCCGCGCAACGGCTGCTCTCCAAGTACCGGCAGCGGTTTCCCAACGTCTCCTTCGAGTGCGTGCATCTGAGCAGAATCTGCGCCGTCAAGACGCTTGACTGGTCGGCGCTGGGATGTCCACACATGGGCGAGCCCGGGGGGGACCGCGTTGGGCGGCTGCAAAAGTATTTCGACTCGCTGCCGTCCGTGACTTCAAGGGCGGATATCCTGCGGCTCTTCATACGCCATATCCTCCTGGATCTGGCCCTGGAGAGGTCGTACTCGGCCCTGCTCCTGGGGCACAGCACATCGGCTCTCGCGGCGCTTACTTTTGCAGAGGTGGCAAACGGGCGGGGATTTGCCGTTCCTTGGCAGATCAACGACGGTCCGTTTGCCGTCTGTACGTATGATGCGCGGCCCGGCTCTACCGGGACGAAGGAGGTGTCGCAGGCGCAAATGCCCGTGTACTATCCGTTGAGGGAGCTGTTCAAGAATGAAATCAAGATATATCTTGATCTCGTGCCTTCTCTGAAGGACCTCATGCCCGAGGACAACGCAACGGCGAGCAATGTCGTGTCGCATAAAGACTTGAGCATTACAGAAGTCATGGAACGCTACTTTGACTCTGTGGAGGGTCCTCAGTCGGGTATTGTGGCCAATGTCGTGCGGACCACGGGGAAGCTGGACAGAGCCGCGAGCGGAAGCTTTTGTCTCATGTGTGGCATGACGTTGGACAAGCAAGGCGATTCGCGGTGGGCTGGTGAGCTTGGTGACGATGCGGATACGCATGACGCCGCTTCTCGGACTGCGCATTTGTGCTATGGATGCAAGAGATCCATCAACGGATGAAATGAACAAAGAGGAAAGGAGAAAGACCAAAGAAGAAAAAGTAAAATGAAAAAGTACAAAAGACATTTCATGCTCTCTTCATTGATGCCATTGTAAGCGATAATGAGGAGGGACAGAAGATACCCAGATAGGCATGTGTCTCAAATAAATGTCTATATGTAAATATCTAGACTGTAAAAACTCCGCTCAGATGCACCCCCTCTGCCTTTATTGAAATACCTGGTCCATCCCCATCTCTTCGGCCAAATTGTACAATACCAATGCCCGCAGTCTAATTTTTGTCTAGTCAAGAACCCACCACTCTCAGATAACCAACTATCAAACGAGTCCCCAAACTTTATAGTTGTATGGGGCAGTAGCATATATATGTGTGTATATATATATATGTATATATGTGGCGCAAACGGATCACGGCCGAGTGTCAAAAGCCAATCATGCCTTGGCAACCATTGGCAACATCCGGCCCTCAAACTTCCTTACCAGCTTGTTAGTCTGTTCAGCCAGTGAAAGCGTCAAGATTGTGTGAGGCAGAATTCTTGCCAGGTGAGGCAGGAACCCCTTATAGATGGCGAAAAGGCCCTCTGTGCGGATCGTCTTTCCCAAGCAGTCGAAAACGCCCTTGTAGAGATTGCCGTTTTGGTTGTAGAGGCGAGACATGATGGTATCTATAGATGACACAACGTGTCAGCGATGGGTGCTCCTCTTCTGAGCCGCGTTTTGCGTTCCTTAGTAGGGACAGTTACTTACCAGGGGGGTGCATGAAGCAACAGACAACGAAGCCACTGGCAGCGCTGCTGGCCAGGTGCAAAGCAGGACCCTCCTCCATACCAGCATGTCGCATTAACCGCCTCTTGGCGAAAAAATATGTCGGCAGCTGGACGGAGCTGCCGAAGCCGGTTCGGATCATTGCCGCACCAATACCGCGATACAGGCCGCCCACACCCTCCGCGCGGTAGATCTGCGACAGGCCATCCCAAGCATTGCGATACTGGTGTTGAGTGCCGACCGGCAGAAACGGCGAGTAGCTCTGAAGGCGGGTCTTGACGAGGAAGAACGGACTGCCGGCAGCTGCGCCAATGATGCCAGAGAAGGCACCGCAAAACATGTTGATTCCGAGGTTCTGGGCATTTTCGTTTTTGAGGAACAAGGTTGCTAAACCCTTGCGCATGGGATCATAGAAACCTAACCGGCAGCCATTGAGGAGAATCTGGTAAATGTAGGCTGTTCCCAGGCCACGATAAATACCGCGTAAGCCTTCGTTTCGCAGGATGACACCCACGCCGTGGATTGGGCCTCGGTAGAAGTGTGGCTGGCGTCCCTTTTGTTGGAGTTCGCCTTGTAATTGCATCCTACGGCGACAAAAAGAAAGACAAGAGTTAGGGCCGTTAATGAGATTAAATCCAACTCAAATCACCATTGAATGAGGGAGCTGGAATGGCGGGCGGGCGAGACAAAAATTGACGTACCGAATCTTGACGGTCTCGAATGGATGGGTTGCCGTAACAGCACCGCAAGCTGCGATGCCGCCAGCGATAAATGCTCTGTATGTTATAAAAGGTTAGCTACTCTATCAAAGTGCCAAGATAGGAAAAAGGCGGCAAATAAGTGTTTGCGCCGTAGAGGCACATACCCAAGCGTTGTCGACATTGCGTCCGAGAAATGCGCGGACTGTCAGTTTGGTATGCGGTTCTCCACGGTCAAAGGAGCGGAAAGAAAAGCCGGGGCAAAGTACACAAAAGAACGATATAAAAAGATGCGGTGCAAAACAGGTATGTCAACTCCAAAAGCCGCGTCGGCCTCGCTGTTTCCAGAGCCTCAAAATACCAGGGCGCCCAGACCAGGCGTGCCCAAGATATTTGTAGGGTGGTGCAAGGTTAGACGGGGGGCCTTCGAGGCTCGATTGCGTCGAGGCAGTCGGAAAGCCTGTCCGGCGAGCAGCTGGGCCTGTTCAATGCAGCCGGGGTATTTTCTCAAACTCGGGATGCCGAAAAATATGTCAACGGGAAAAGACCATAGTGACTGGCGAAGATGACAGGTTCATCTGCGACGCAGATGGTGGGTGCTGCAACGGGTCAATCGACTGCCGCATCTTCTGTGCCGACGTCGGCCGTCGGCCGCTCCAGGATGGCGCTGGACAATAAGAAGCGCTCCATTAGGCAGCCCCGAAAAAAAACCCATTCAATGCTGGCGAGAAATTGATGTTGAACCTTGGGGGCCGAGGGGGCCGGAGTGGCTCACTAAGCACGTATGCGTGGCACCCAGCGCTGGACCGGCGGGGGCACTGGAATGTTCACCGCTGGCGCTGCACATGTGCGCTGGATCCAGATATTAGCCGCACATGCAGCGACTACCGTGCCTGGAGGACGGAGGGCTTCGGGCGCAGGACTTCACCGCAGAGGCTGGCACAGCCGACTGGAACTATGAGGTCAATAGGAGTACCCGTTGATTCAATCCATCTAGACCAGTTGACTTCTTTCCAGTGAACTTGACAAATTCGGGAACGTGCCCCGCCTCCTCGGGTACCAGAGGGTTAAGATAAGCAAGCAATTTAACTGCCTTGACCCTTGGCTCACCTAAGCACCATGCCCCAACCAGACTGGGATAAGAGGACTGCGACTTCGGCTTCGGATCATCTTTTGAAGAAAGCCAGAATATGTTTGAATCTCCGGGGACTACTAGTCCTTACCGTTGGCCTCCGTATTCCAACCACTACGCGCCATTGTATCAAGTTCCCAACTCTTGATCCCTTCTCGTATTATGCGTTTGCCTTTTGCCTCGTGGATGTTGCAATTCCCGCCCGACCCCAAAGGCGGCATCGTCTCAGCGAGAACACCGGCGCGAGTTGGAGCGAGAGCCGCAAACAGGGTCCACACGCCTAGACTGCAAAAGGTCTGGTCAGCATCAAGCCTCATGAGCACCAAGCAGCTCCTGTGGCTTGTGCTCCACGCCAAGTGGTCAATCCAATTCTCCAGTTCTCCAAGTCCGCACATGCAACCAAGCTCATCAATGAAGACACTATCAATGCATTGCTACTAGAGACTACACAGAGTGGCCAGCCTGGAAATTGCACGGAATCTGTATAACGCCAGGACGCTCCCCCTGGATGTTGACGGCGGCCACCTGCTCCGGCGATCCTATCCCCAACGTACAAAGCAGGCATCCGGATACTGGTCGGGGTAACAGGACCACAATCCCCAAATTTACGACCTCGTTCCAAACCTGCCAGCGAGGGCCGTGACCCGTCGCATACAGGCCGTTTCACCCGTGCTTTCGCATGCCTCATATCCCGCGTTTTTACGCAGCCTCAAGAGCCATTGAATCATGTCGTCAACCCCCATGGATCTGGACCGCCCTAGCGGCGTGTCCATCAACGGACGATCTCTAAATATTCAGAGGTCGTTTGGCGGTACAGCATCTGTATCTAACCTGAGCGACGTCATACCCAGCTTTAGACCTACCAAGGTGAGTGTGCCGGCTTGGTATTGCTCTCTCCTTTGCTCTGCCTTGTTCCTCTCGCCCGTGCCAGAGTCGCGCGTTTGGACATGTTGAGCATGATTTCTAACTCGAGTTTGTCCGCTCCTAGCTGCTCCGACGCGAAGACCTGAAAGAAGGTCGCCCAGTGCCGCATGTCCTGTCCATCGACTACGACGATGAGGGCGAGCTGTTGATGACGTCCGCAAGCGACGAGACGATACAGATCTACAATGTAAAGGAAGGTCGCCACGACAAGAGCCTCCTTAGTAAAAAGTACGGCGTCAAGCTGGCCAAGTTTACGCATACGAATTCGAGCATCATATATGCCAGCACGAAGCAGAACAGTAACGTGGCCTGCTTCCCATGAGCGCGTCTCGCCGACCTGCCAGCTAACTTTGCTTCTCAGACGCCATTCGATACCTTGCGACCCATGACAACTCGTTCATACGCTACTTCGAAGGGCATGAGGGCAACGTGACCAATCTCGCGGTTCATCCCGGCAGCGACAATTTCATATCGTGCTCTCAAGACAACACCGTCCGTCTTTGGGACACCCAGTCCAAACATTGGCAGGGGCAATTGTTTCTCAGATCGCCGTATCTTGCAGCGTACGACCCTTCGGGCATGGTCTTTGGCGTTGCATGCCCTAGTAGCGGAACTGTGCTATTATACGACGTTCGTAACTATGACAAGGCTCCGTTTTCGACCGTAGATGTAGTGGAGCAGTGCAGCAAGATCGACCAGCAGAACCTTGTCAAGGGTTGGACCAAGCTGGAGTTCTCCAATGATGGCAAATCGCTGCTTGTCGGTACCAAGGGCAATGGGCATTTCCTCCTGGATGCGTTTGAGGGGACGCTCAAGGCCTACCTGCGCAAGCCTACGGGCGGAACCAGGCGACAGGCTCCAGGTGAGACGGCCTCATTATCAAACGGCAATGCGGCAACGGATCCTTCGAATTTCGACAGCAGCGGGGACTGTTGCTTTGCGCCAGATGGCCGGTTCATCATAAGCGGATCAAGACAGGATATCTTGGTGTGGGATTCTTTGTCCTCGATACCCGACCATAAGGTGTTGGAGCCCAACTGGACGCTCCCTGACAAGAGGGAAACAGCCGTTGTTGCCTTTAACCCCCGGTTCAACTTCTTTGCCACGGCGGATCAAGATTTATTGTTCTGGTTACCGGATGCCTCCTACATGAGCACCTAGACTGCGCCTTGAGTTGGAATATGGTTGTGGTGCGGAGTTAAGGCTGGGTTTTTATGATGATATGATGACTATTTACTGCATATATCGTGGCGGGGACAATATATATACCCTTGAATCCGGAGGTGTGACGGTGGAACAGTACTATTGCTTCAACCTACAATGCGTTCTACATCAGTGTTGAAAGCTATATCTGACCCGCGGGCTTCAATGAATAGAAGGGTGAGGGATGTATTCCTTCGTCTTGAATTGGTGCTGGGGGCTGACTGCCTTCGGGTAGTCGTACAAAAAAAGTGACATACGCACGATTCCTCATGTTTTAAGTTTATACTCGAATAGTCTGTGCCGTAGCGGCATTGGGGGGTAGGGGTCTTTTTTCGAATCGATAGCTTCACTGTCGCCGACACTTATACATTGCGTGCTTAAACACACACCGAGCTTCCATGTAATGAACGTTTTGTGTACTCACGAGATCCTCCCCGAAAGGAATGCTCCAATACGCTAGAAGACTTCTTAGCATGCCAGGAAAAAAAAAGAAAACGAAAAAAAGAGTAAAGGTTATTCCGTATAAATTATTCCTACCATTTAGGGTAGGACACAACTTAATTGCCATCACCACCGTCAACGGAGAGAAGCTCCACGCCACCAACCAAGCGGCTCCTATCCCGTCCCTGCTCCCATGCCCCACCTGACTTTATCCCACCAGACCACCGCCAACCGCACCCATCATATGTCTACTGCGACATCTTTTATTTCAGCTCTTTTCCTGCTGCGAAACACCACCCTCGTCATTGCAAGATCGACGAAGTACTGGCGCAGGTCAGCCAGTCCGCTCTAGAGGACGGATATCGCCGGATATACACGTGCCACCGCTGGCAAAATCCGCCAGAATGCCATACTTCAAGTCGAGCCAGGAATGGCTTGAGCAATCCACGCTTCTCCTCGAGGCTAGACCTTCTACCGTACGTGCCATCGCTCGACACCGAGCTTGTATTTGCGCCGAAGCCGGTTTCCACGACCTACCAAAAGAGGCATACAGGCACTGAGTGACAGGGAGCGGGTTAGCTGACGCCCGACGTTTACAGACTCGCATTACCACAAAATACTCCATACAGCCCGTCAAATCACGGAAAAGGAAAGCGGATGACGCCGATGGAGATACGCCCGTCAATGACGCCCCGAACCCCCCCCGCGGAAGCCTGGTTATAAAGACATATGATCCCGTCAGTGGCGTCACGCTCAAGTACCGCACCACCAAGGCTGCCGAGGTCTCGCGTCTGGTCTACTCGTCTCTGGGGCGACTGGGTCGGGCAATGGCTGCCGTGCCTCTCGATGTTCCGGAGGAGGCTATGCCAGATGCATCCGGTGGTGGTGGTGGTGGTGCTGACGGCGGTGACGGAGACAACAAGGGCAGCGGTGCGGCCACGCCAGCGTCGCAACAACCGCAGGGCCAACAGGCACAACAAGGTGGCGGCAAAAAGAAGAAGAAGGGTAGAAAATAGGCGTCAAGAAAGAGGCCGATTACCGTGGGTTGCAGGCTGGGGAAGGAATGAGAACAACGAGCACGACTATTGCCAGGCCCAGTGGGAGGACAAGGCCACCAAACTAAAAACAGTTGGAATTAACGCCTGTTTGATCCAACTACCTACACTCAGGGAATGCGCAGGACATATCTTGCCAGACTGATCAGATCTCCATTTCCAATGCACGTTTATTATGCAAAATATGGGTTTAGCGTGCTACAATACATCATGATCCCATCTATCCATTCAATACGGCACTTTCCGCGTGCCTGGTCGTACAAAAAAAACCGCAAAACCCCCAACGCCGGCCATTATTATGGATCTTAGTGACCTTCCCAAACAATACCAAAAAGGACCAACAAGCCAATTCAGTAAACCCCCCCTCCGTTATCTGCGCCTGAAGTGGCTTTGCAAATATACAATTCATATGACAAAGGGAAAACGGTACACTTTTTTTTCTGAAATTCCAAGTGGCTGTCGTCTGTGAACCAGCTTAGAATTCGTCGTCAAAGGTGAAGTCACCGCCGTCTTTATTTTCATCGGAAACAGTACCGTCTTCTTTCTTGGAAGCGCTGGCCAAAACACCAGCCTTTTGGTAGTCACCAACTCTCTTTTCAAAGAAGTTGGTCTTGCCGCCAAGAGAAATGTTTTCCATGAAGTCGAAGGGATTGGACGTTTTGTACACCTTCTCGTTTCCAAGAGCGACCAACAAACGATCAGCAACGAATTCAATGTACTGCTTCATCAAATTGGAGTTCATGCCAAGTAGAGCGCAGGGCAGAGCCTCAGTCAAAAATTCTTGCTCAATAGCGACAGCGTCTGTAATGATGTCGTAGATGACTTGCTTGCTAGCGCGATTCTTGAGGTGGGAATGCAGGAGGCAGGCAAAGTCAGTGTGCAGACCCTCATCACGAGAGATGAGCTCGTTGGAGAAGGTCAGACCTGGCATGAGACCGCGCTTCTTCAGCCAGAAGATAGAGGCGAATGCACCACTGAAGAAGATGCCCTCAACAGCAGCGAACGCGACGAGACGCTGAGCGAAGGTAGACTCCTTGTCCTGGATCCATCGGATGGCCCAGTCGGCCTTCTTGCGGATACAAGGAACTAGCTTGAGTTAGCAGCGGATCGGAAATAGTAGCGCGCGTGAACATACTGGTATCAATGGCATTGAATAAGTAGGTGCGTTGGGCATTCTCTTTGATGTAGGTATCGATCAGCAATGAGTAGGTTTCTGAGTGGATGTTCTCCATCATAATTTGGAAGCCGTAGAAGCAGCGGGCCTCGGGGATCTGAACCTCGCCGCTGAAGCGCTCGACCAGATTCTCGTTGACGATACCATCTGAGGCAGCGAAGAAAGCCAGGATATGAGAAATGAAATATTTTTCGTCGTCATTCAGACGGTTGTTCCAGTCGTGCAGATCTTTGGAGAGATCAATCTCCTCGGCCGTCCAGAAAGAAGCTTCAGCTTTCTTGTACATTTGCCAGATCTAATTGTACCCACTCATGTTAGACCCAGCCATGCAAACACCACTTTACGCGTCTTGACGCGTCACGTACCTCGTGATACTTGATAGGGAACAAAACGAAGCGCTGAGGATTCTCTTGGAGAAGAGGCTCATCGACTTCTGCTTTGATGCCAGGGGCGACTGCGGCCGATTTGTCGTCTTTCTTGCTCTCAATCTTGGACTCGTGCTCAGCGTCGACCTGCTCAGCAAGGGCAGCGACGGCAGCCTCATCGAGAGGCTTGTTCTCTTTGTCGGCGACACCAAAATCCAATTTCTTAACCGGCGACTCCATCTTCAGCGAATCAATGGCTGAAGCAGCCTGGAAACGCGGTTAGCTTCTTAACAATGAAGGGTAGATGGCGACGGGCGCGTCAGTGCCAGCCATGACTGCGACTCACCTGCTTGGAGGGGGTGATCTGGGTAGTCATTGTGATGTATATGATGTTATGTGAGGGAATGTATGACAATTATAGGCAAGGAGCAATCACAACGAAGAAATTGGGCTTGAACTCGGCCTGAGAAGATGGTTTGAGGACGCGATGGTGAGAGAGGGCGTTAATGGGTAAATGGTGGCGCCAGAGCTTTTTGTACTAAACTTGAGCCAAACGTAGAGGTGCGTAGTCACGTGTGCCAGACGCGTCGAAACGTGTTTTTAGTGGGGGAAACGCGGCCGAGAGGTCGGGAGTACGTACCCAAGTATCGAGGTGGAGCCTTCGCGGGTACAAGCTTGGTACCTGCGCCCGCACTGAGGGTCCTCCTGTCGCACGCTCGAGCGCTTGGTTGCCCTGGCTTGTGCATACCAGCCACCGATTTAAATGGGCTTGCAGGGAACAACATGTGCAGAGGCTCGTCGCGTCCAAGTATTGCCACTACTGGCTCGAAGCCGTCGTCATGATTTGCAGTTTATCAATCAGCAAACAAACACCCACTTCTCGTGCCTGTAAGACGGAACCCCTGCATTGCCGTCGACTTTGGCGGAGCTCGGGATGGCGTCTCGGAGATGACCTGACGCTGCGCGACTCGCAAGCCGAGACATGTGCTTTATTCCCTTAGCCAGCACTCAGAAAAATACTCGGTACCTGAGCATGTACATACTACTACCGTCTTCACGCCCCCTTTGAACCAGGGGAGATCAGTCGCTGGTACGGAGTAATCGGCAAGCAAGCGTTATCAGATCTTGCCAATGTGGAGACAATTACCATGGGCCACGGCAAATTGTACCATCGTGTGTCTCGGAGGATTGATAAATGCTGCCTTTGTCCTTTACAGTACGCAGAGTGTTTGACTGAGCCGTCCACTCCGATGCAATAATTCTGCGAAAATACCATATGGTACAAATTGAGGTGCCTACTGACTACAAGAAATCGATCCCGACAAGGTGGTACTGAAACTTATAGTATTATCGTTCTACCTATTTGGCCATGTGGCTTCTTGTTACCTGCTTCCATCTCAACATCAAACAAAGACATTCAAACGTAGTACACACTTGCTTGCTAAACCCTGGTACATATATGCAAAAGCCCCGATAATCATCTGCCTTGTGTTTTCCCCCGTCAATTTCAATCATCAGTCAAGTCGTTTATCAAGTCCAAAGCTCTAGCCTTATGCGTCATTAAGTCATTTCTTTCCCAGGCTGCGTTCAGTATGGAAAAGGCAACCCGAGTTTATCTTCGGCCAGATCGTTTCTTTGTGGACCGATGGCCATCCGGGAATTCACCAGGGGCAATGATGCCGTCGTGGTATCGGCGCTCATCCCTCTGAACCCTCGAGTCCTCTCGGCGCATCCCTTTGCCCTGACGTCGGCCATCTTCTGCGCGGGCGTGATCGGGCAGGTGTCCCGTCTTGCGTAAATTTTTCTCTGCCCTCTCTCTCAGGAAATCTTCGAGAAGGAGAGCGTTCCGTGTATTGCCTCTGTAGATTGCCTCTGCCCCGGGAACCAGCCCAATGATGAAATCAATGGCTACGTTGACCATCATGTGCAACTTTACCGACGCTGGGAGGCCACCTTCAACCTTGCAGCATTTTCTGAAGACTGACAGCGACATTAGTCCGTCGATGGCATCTCCAATTCTGTTGCTCGATGTTAGCAAATATTTTGACATGAGTTTTGATGGAACTTGACGCAAGGACTCACCCGGGAATTATGCCAATCACTGTGCTCCATCCAAAACCAACTCCGAATATTGTGAACAACGACCAGTCCAAGTGATGAACTCTTCTCCTTACTCCCACCAAAACCTTGGCATCATGCTCCGAGAGACCAGGAGGCAATTTGCGTTTCTGCTTCACCTGCTTGCCGGTGGGCTCTCCGTTGCGTTTTGTGCCAGGAACTTTTTCGTAGTAAGGGTCCTATTCCCGTATTAGTAGAATTCCTTCCCTTCGAGACCGCGCATGTTGATGACAGGCGTGGCATAATCAGTATGGTGTCCTCGAAAGGAAACATGGACTTACTCCTTGACCGAACTTGTCCTGTAACTGTTTGCCTAGAAATTTCCTGGCAGCCGTCTTTGCGATGTACGAGGTCATGGTAGGCGTACGTACAGGAGGCGCCCCGAGACTGGCAGGCTGAGATTGAGGAAGCCAAAATTGTGTGCAAAGATGAAATCAAAAATGAGCCCGGACGCCCTTATGTAGATGTTCGGCGAGAGCTTTTTGTGAACTTTCTGGACTTGGTTCCTGGGATTGGATGCCTCTGATGCAGGCGCCAATGATGTAATCTATTCGTTCAGTGTTGGCCCGAAAGCTTGTTTCAGCGACCTGGTGTGCCTGTGCCACGAGCGCGGCGTTTGCATGCGGCCCCCCTTGTCGGGGCCTCCTCTCCCTGTTTGTCGTTGCATGTGTGGCCGAGGAGGCAAACGGCTCCCTCCCAGCGGCAGCCCAAGCACCGCCACACCCTTGGGCACGGAGTACGTACCTAGTAGCTACCGGCTTGTGGCTACAGCTACCTCGGACGTTGTGGCGAAACCGTTGCCAGTCAAGACGTCGCACTGTAGACCCTGACTCTGTGCAGTGCATGGAACTGAGTCCGAGACTCTCCTTGTCTCCTCTTCAGTTGCACCCTCGAAGCACAGTGCGTCTGCTCCTCCAATCACCGGTTATCCTCCCTCCAGCCCCTCCGCTCCACGGCTCGTTCGCCTCCATCGACGATTGCCAGCCCAACCGACGAAGCTGTTCTGGTGACTTTGACCACCGAGTAGCTCGACAATCGAGATTCATTTTGCCTGTTCCCCCCCAACACCGCGATCACGCAACCTGCAACTCAGGGAAAATTGCTCTTCATCTGAAGGATTCTGCTATCCATTCGTCCCGACTTTTCAAGGTGGCGCTTGTGCTTTTCCAGAACAGACCGACCCGCTTCTGCGCGCTCTCTGGAACCTGCTGCGACCACCTTCCCGTGCTTCCCTTGAACTCCGACCATGACAAGCATCCCTTCATACCTACGACTTGAAGAGGATTGTTTAGAAAAACCGTGAGCGAGGGAGGTCTTGGTCGATTCATCGACGCAACCTGTTGTTACGTACGCCGTGTACATCCGGGGCATGGGCGATAAGCCAAAGCGGCACAATGGCAGCGACCGAGATGCAGCTCGAAGACTGTATGTTATGACGGGCACCAACATCTGGGACCTCTGCGCCTATCCCGCGGCACATGTTAACTTGAACTCTCGATTATAGGGCTGGACGACCTCTGCGTCCGCTTCATCATCAATCTTCCTCAAGAAGATCTCTCTTCTGTTGCCCGAATATGCTTCCAAGTCGAGGAGGCGCAATGGTTCTATGAAGATTTCATCAGGCCACTTGACCCGACTTTGCCTTCAATGTCGCTGAGGACCTTTTGCCTGCGAATCTTTCAACATTGCCCGTTGCTTGCATCCTTCTCCGTTGAGAACCATACCAAGGCATTCGAGGAGTTCCTTCAGTACAAGACCCGAGTCCCAGTCAGAGGCGCTATCATGCTCAACCATGCCATGGACTCTGTGGTATTGGTCAAGGGCTGGAAAAAAGGAGCGAACTGGAGTTTCCCGCGCGGTAAGATCAACAAAGATGAGGATGATCTAGATTGTGCCATCCGCGAGGTTTATGAGGAGACTGGTCTTGATCTTCGTGCCGCCGGTCTCGTACCCACTGAGAAGAAGCCCAAATATATTGAGATTTCAATGAGGGAGCAGCAGTTACGGCTTTACGTTTTCCGGGACATTCCTATGGATACCAAGTTCCAACCGCGGACTCGCAAGGAAATCAGCAAAATCCAATGGTACAAGCTATCAGAACTTCCCGCGTTCCGCAAGAAAGGCGCCCAAAACCAGAATGATACTGGTAATGGACCAGCTGTGAACAAGTTCTACATGGTTGCCCCATTCCTTGTCCCCCTGAAAAAATGGATTTATTCGCAAAAGAAATTGAACGACAAAAGAGCAACAAGCGGAGCCCATGGCCATTTACCCCATTACCCAGCCGTTGACGAGGTCGCCACAACCGAAGACGATACATGGGCACCCGGTAACCCTGAGAAGCAATCACATGTGCCTGCTATTGAAACCCTCGATGGGGCAACCCAAGAGCTACAGAGGCTGTTGAAAATGCAGCCTCCTACTCAGGGGCTCCAATCCCCGCCCCAAGAAGATAAAGGCACAGCTCTCCTCTCGATTCTTCAATCTAATGCTAGTCGTCCGGCACCGCCGACTCACCAGAACGTTCCATTGCCGCACACTCCTCTGGATGCTACGATATCCGAACCTCCTCAACCACGGAATCCCCATCACCACGCTAATTTGAATCCCATCCATGTTCAGTCACACCAGCCTCCGCCTTCTTTCCCGTATGCTCCAGACCATGAAACTGTGTCCTGGAATCCGAACCAGCCGCCCCACTCGCAGCAACATCATATCGATACGACCAGAAATCAGCAACCAGGCCAGTACCAACTTCCGTCGGCTCACTCACAGACCCCGCGACGCCAGGCCCAAGAATCGATGCTTCAGAATGACTCATTCCAGAATCAACCTGCGCTTCAGCTTGTCGGGACCCTGCCAAATATTGCAACCGGGCTTGCGTCATTGACTAGTCTACAGAACAGTCAGATGTCTGCTAGTCCTGGATCCGCGAAACTTAGCGGAGCATCCCTTGCTCTTCTCAATGCTTTCAAACGGGATACTGGGACTACGCAGGAAAACCAAGCCGTTATGAACCCACCAGGTACTGGTCATGCCGCTCCGCCTAGTGCTCAAAGTTCCCCGTATTATAGTACATCCATTCCCTCGCTTAATCTCCTGGGCGACCATTCGAGTCGTCCTGCAGAGCAAACAAATGTCTCAGAATTGGTTGGGTCTTCTGTCCAGCCCAAAGGAGATCCGCATCGCTCTGCTCTTCTGGACATGTTTAAAAAGAGCCCTCCAAATACTACAGCAAACCAATCCCAGGTTGGAGCTACGCAGGAAAATCGACATGAAATCACCAAACAATCCACAGGACAGCCAGAACAGGGCGAACATATGTTCCTCCGGCAATTTCAGGCCAATCGTGGCCCACCTAACGAGCACCTCTCTCTTGAGCAGCCGACTCTTCAGTCCAAGTCAAGTCAACCAGCTTTGCCCTCGCCTCATGTTGGAGAGAGCCCAAGCGCCCATCATCACAAGTACCAATATTCTCAGCCACCGCAGCCGCAGCCGCAGCCGCAACAACCTGCTCGATCGCCACTTGTCTCTGGTCACGGACAACCGCCTCAGCCACCCCGCATCCTTCAACGGGGGCAGCGTCTCGACGATATCTCTTCCACGGCCCGTCAACGCGAATTGTCTCCAAAAACCTCCCCATTTGGCGCGCAGAATGGTGCACATCGCTTTCCTACGGCTGCCCCCGAGTCTTCCCTGATAGCCAACACTGGGGATCACACCCGCCGCCCTGATGATACTCGCGAACAAAAGCAACAGCTGTTATCTTTATTTGGAAAGCAACAAATCCCAGGAGGCACAGCACCAGCTTCTGGAACGGATTCTAGACAAGGCGCCGACCCTCCATCGCCGAGAGTCTCATCAATGGCATCTAGAGGCGGGGAGACGCCCATCTCCCCTGCTGAACAAACCTTCTTGTTGGACTATTTGCAGTCTGTTACCAATAATGCCGGACGTCGATAATTTTGCGAGCGTTCGTTGTATCAAGCACCTTTATTGCGTCTTAACTACATCACTGCATGGGATGGAACCGTTTTTGTTGGGGAACAATCTATGCTATGCTTGGCATAATACCATGAGCAGCGAAGTATAATCATTGGGGGATTAAACATTTAGCACTAAAAACCCTTGTACAGTGTTTAAGTCGCAATACAACGTCGGCAGATTTGGCTATCTCCTTGTGCACCATATTGTCGTGAAATAACCTTATCTCCTTCGCCCAGACATTCTCAACTCGATGTGTGTAGCTCATTAATTCGTCACTTTTCCGTTACAATCTCATGCGCCCTTTTCTATCTCGTCTCTCCATCAAAATCGACCAAGCTGAACACCTTCTCCATTAAGCCCCCCGCTGTTTGATAAGACCGCTAGTTTCGTCCGGGATACCCGCCTTGAAAACTTTACTCATCATCAAAAGAAAGCAGCTGAAAGCGATTCGAAGCTGAGATGTTTGTGCCTTTGACTGCTGGTGCTTGAATTACCGGCTTCTGTGAACGCACTGGCATTTTGTGCAGCGGCTGGGCACATTCGTCAACGCCCCATTCGATGCGGGAGGTGCCTTTGTATTTTCTAGGAATCGGTATAAATATAATTGTATTTGAGAACAGAAAAGGTCTACTAGACCTCAAATTACCTAGTGGGGAGAGGGGAATAAACTTACAGCCGACTCATCATGCAAGTGCGAGCGAACATGGCAGCAGCAACTGAGTTGGTGCTGATAAAACAATGCCCTCCCATGAACTGAATCTGTACAACCACAAGGTTATGTATGTGCTCTAGGTCGTTGCGTATTTCCTGTTCGGTGAGATTAGGGTTGCAGTAGCGGATGACAAGATTGCGGCATGCCCCTAGAGCAATTTTGTGTGCAACGTGACCGGCTACAATGAATTGGCGGTCGTCCCATCTAATATCGACCTATACTCCGCATGAGTTAGCATATGGTAGACCTTACTTGCCAAAAGGGACAACCTTTGTATTCTTAATGTACAGTCCGTTGGCCTGGACATACTGATAGAAGGCGTGAGCATCGCTTGAGTGGAGAAAGGACAGGGCAACCATGTTATCCCTGGCTCGAAAATATATGTTGACAATAAGCCCCCCCCTCACGATAGACGTGACATCTGCAATAGTAGTGCCTTCTGCAAGGTTCAGAAGCTGAACTGTTCGGGTGGCTGTTGGTTCCACTACGGGCTTCGAGGTGGTGTGTGCCAGCAGGGCTCCAGCATCGTCGCCGTCCATGCTGTCGTTTTCTGAATCGGTAGAAGAGTTGCTGGCTGATTCAGAGTCGTTGATTTTGGTTCCGTCGCCAGTAGACAGATTTGAATACGAGTTCGTGTACGGTAGGAAAGCATATGGTCTCGCATGACTACCCCGGGATGATCGTTCGTGAGCTAGATCCGAGCCGCCAGGACCATTTGTAGAGACTTGGGATCCATGGTTGATAGTATGGGGTTCGGAGGTATTAGAAGAACTTTGCGTGCTGAGAAGCTGGGCTTTTGTGAGCGATGAACATTATGTCAACCATACAGCACGTTGGTACACAAATAGAGAAGAGACATTTTGCATACCTCAATTGTTTCTCTTTGCACTCCGCCATTGATAAGATTGCGGCATAAAGTGTCTTTATGAGCACAGCCAAAAGTCAAAACCAAGAGGGGACGGCGCAAAGCTTTGAAAGAATTCCTCACCATACTGTTGGGCAGACCTAACAAGACTCGCATATTCATGTCGAGTAATTTGAAGGACTGGAAGCCTGAAGTCGGGGTCTGCCGCCGGCAGAGACATTCTCTACTTACGATGAAGCATCGAGGAGAGTTTAGCAGTTGAAAATGCGTTGAAGAGCTGCCGCCGAGGAGCTACGTACTGCTGACATCTGGAAGTATATCACCTGATGACTGCTTAATGGCAGCTTCAGGACAGAAAGAAAAGCAAAGCGCGGATGAAACGCAGAGAGCAGGCGAAAGAAGATGAAAGGATAAAGTTAGGCTGCAGTTGCCAGATGCTTTTACAAATGAACAAGGCAACTGACAGCTGTTGACGCTCACGTGCATATGCAAGAAGACCGGCCCAGACAAGCAAAGCCGGCCTCCACGTTTCTTAGGTGGTGTTGACCATAATGGCATGAACGGCTCATTAGAAAAAGAGAGAGAGAAGAGAGAGAGAAAAAAAATTAAAAATGAAAACGAAGAGGAGCAAAGCAAAGAAAAGGAAAGCACTGGACTATTCATTATACAAGGGCGCTCGGCCACATCAAGCTGAGCTGATTACTTCATTTGTACGGAGTACATGAGACGAACCTTGACATCGGGTCTGTCCAGCCTGTTCCAGTCCCTGATACCTCAGTAGTCTGCAAATGTAAATATTTGTGCACCTGCGCAACAGTGAATCAACCCATGGAGCCACAAGCAGTCGGGCGCCGTGGTTGATGTCAATACTTTATGTCTTGAGCAGGTAGACAGACACAGCCCTGTGAGTCGGGCTTCGAGAGCCAAGCAAACGTGCTTTAGGAATGGACTCTCAGGCACCACCAGTCGCTTACTTAAGTGTATGAGAAGGCGTAGCCTTGCAAGTGCCGATTGGTCCTCTTGTATTTGATCAAGACATGAGTTCAGTCGAGGCTTGACAAGCTGCGAGCATCATCGCTCGACAGTAGCCACATTGGCACCAAGTTGAACAAGCTATGCATGGCATGGGGAAATCCCTATTACATTTGACGAATGTACGGAGTATGCACAGAGCCAAATAAGGCTGGCATGGGAAGCTGAAACCGCCAGAGGCTACGGAGTCCCTTCGAGCCTACATGAAGGCCAGAGGAGGGTTTGCTTGAGGACATTGAGCTCACGGTGTGAAAGAGTCAGGTCTAATGCAATGATGTAAGTCCAAGGGCGGGCGTGAGGTGACAGGCCCGGGACATTAAACTTGGCAAATAATCTTCCAGAGATGGATCAAGGCCAGAAGGAGCAGCAACTTTGGGGTGCCAGTCGTCCCACCGGGCAGCAACGTGGCCACAATCCCATCACCCGACATGCGAGGACAGTTGCAAGTGGACATGTTGGCAACCCGTTGACTATTCCCGCCGTGGCTCGCACGTTATCTTGTAGTATTGTAGCACGTACACTGGATGATGGGACACAGCGAACGCCTGATGCCGATGGGATCCGATAACAGCAGCATCATGGCAGCTACTGGGTTGGCAGACTAGATGCAAGGATTTGCCTGTGGCCTGGCAGGCATGAGACGCAAAAGAGGGTCGAGTTGAAAACACGAGGTCACGTGCACCGTATTGGCGTCTGTGGCCACCCACCACGCCCCTTCAAACCGTTCTAAATAGGTCTGGTCTGGTTTGTTGTTATTTTTGCAGCGGGCGGGCGGTGCAAGCCAAGCATGTGCGCGAGGTGGCCGAGGGGAAAATGCATCATGGACAGTGCAGGCCAGCGAGTTCCCTCCTCAGTCACTTACGGCCCTCCGCTGGCGTTTTTACTTGGTACGCAGCTGGGGCCATCATTACTAGCCAAAGCTGTGCCTGTCCTGGCCCGGAAACAAAAAAAAAACTCAAAAAGCAGAAAAGCAGCCCGGTCCCCATGCGGAGTTCTGCAGTGCTTCAAGCCATCGTAAATACCAAATGTATGATTGTGGGGCAATTTCTAATTAAGTACGATGAAGCTACGCCTGTTTGGGCCAAGTGCACAGGAGGCACCGCCTGGCTCGTGCCGTGGTGGATGCATTCGTCAAGTAGGCCCAGTCCGTCCAGTGGCTGTTGGCGGCTCACTCAGTGGCCCGGTCAACTGTACGGCTCGGGAGTCAACAGTGTCAACACTGAACACTTGTTGTTGCACAGCACCACAGCTAGAGCCGTCAGGGGCTGACTGGTTGGCCACACATCCGGTGCATTTGCCAGTTGGTCGTGGCCCCTCTAGAGATCGGGCTTCCTCTCACATTTACTCCGGAATACATACATTGTACTCACACGCACCCTCGTTGGTTCCCACTCACCTCCCTGTCCTCCTCTACTCTCTTTTGCTCAACCCTCCCCTGGTCAACCCGATCCGAGGACAAAAAATAGACGACGACTCTTGCCTCGTCACTATTTTTTTTTCGCCTCTCGCTTTTTTCTGCACTTGATTTCCGATTGACTTCGTTCTCGACACTCGCTTCGTCTGCCTCCCACTCGTTCCTCCCCCGAAATTTGCTCCGCGTCGACCACCGTCCAGCCAGTCACCTCGCCCGTTGCCACCATCGCCCCGACCGTTTGAACCGCCTTAGTTGTCAACGAAAGAAAAGTATTTCTTATCCAGTCTTGTTCGTGGTCAATTATTGGAGTCGCCATATTCTTGCGTCGACTATCTTTTACCAGCCGTGATTGCTTGACGTTATTGGCGTCCGGGCCGTTGCAGCTTCGTTTCACTTCTGTCAATCCCCAGCACTCGTCATGCGTCCTGCTCAGTCCTTGGTGCAACTGGCCCTGTGCCTTTCTACCTGTGGCTCTGTTGCCTCGGCATTAGAATGGCCACGATGGCTGCCCGAGCGAGATGCCCTCATCGTACGAGCCGATAGCAGTAGCGACTCTGGCCAAGCTTCTGGTATGTTCTCCTTGTGTGGTGCAGCCCTGTCCATTAATCAACCACACTATCACTCATTCATGCTGCTTTCGCCGTCATTGTTTTATTTTACTAACCCTAGACGTCAGTGGCCGCTGAAAAAAATCCTTCTCAAACAGTCGTGCCGGAAGTATCAGCATCTGCAACAGACGCGAGTTCCCAAGCCGGCGGCAAAACAACTGGCGACTCGAATACCGCAAAGGCGACGAAGACTGGAAATGGAAAGTCTGGCACTGCTGGCACTGCAACCAAGAAGGCAAGCGTGACTCGCACTCAGTTTCCCCCGGATGCCCCCCCAGCAGGTGTCAGCATGCAGACACCTAATACTGGTCTGCAGCCTAGTGGGCTATACAAGATTAGTGACTATGTTACCTGGTCCTGGAACTACACCTCGCTGCTAGGAACCCCGACTGCCATTGATGTCCTTGTCAGCTGCTCCGCAGCAAGCGAGACCTGGACTCTGACTGGCAATATGTCATTCCAAACCGCAGTCAACTACGTGTGGGACACGAAACAGCAAGCCAACGACATCCAGAGCCCACTGGGTGTTCAGCAATACACCTTAATTGTCAAGGATTCCGACGCCAGCATTACCCAGGCTCCCGAACCCGGTTATCTTGGTGCATATGCTAGCTATTCATTCGGCATGTACACTGGCCAGCCATACACGGCCTATCCTGATTGGACATGCCCGGGAACTTGCAGTGCCGCTGCATCGGCCTTTGACCGCCAAGCTGTCGGTCTAGCTATTGCCACGAGCATTGTTACGTTCCTGAGCTTTACTTGGTTTGTCGCTGGTTTAGGATTGCATTGAGAGAATCCTGCCGGATCTTGCACAAAGGCAATGTCCTTCTAGAAATGCCACTTACGACGTTTGTGACCGACTTTATTGGTCGAGACTCAAAGACGGAAGTTGTCTCGTTTGAAACTGTCGCAAACTTGCTTGATGCCGGGCGTTGATTGAAAGAAATGGATGAAAATTTAAGCTGAAGCCTGATTTTATTGTTTTTTATACCTACATATTCTCGTTTTGGGTACTGTCTTGGCCGGGCATTTGAAGTCTTTGCAGCATATACTTTGGAGGAAGGAAACACAGGGCGAGTCATTTTGGAAATTGGGTTTTTGGTTTATGGTGTACTGATTTATGGCTGGGGGAGTTGGACCTAGTATACATCTTCTAATGAAGCTAGATGCATTAATTAATTCTTTATCTCTTAGCTGCCCATGGGACAATGCTTGCGTCTCCGTGATGAAATCCTAATTCATATTTCAACATGACGTCTTTGCGTTTCGAAACGCCAGCATCAATGGAATTAAAATTTTCGTGTTTTGTCTGAAGTATTATGGAGGGATGTAGTAGACCAAAAGCAATAGCCCCAACTCAACTACTGCTGGCCAAGACGTCTTCAATACGACTTTCAAATTCCTTACACCATTCGCAGTGTGAAGCCAGCTCCACGCTCCTCCTTGTCCCGCCCCTGGAAGATGCCGCTCAGGTCAACATCTCCTAAAGCGACTGCTTGCCCTCTGACGGGCGCATTTGGCTCATGCCGACGTCTCCGCTCCTGGCCTGCTTTGCTGGGGAATGTCGGGAACATGCTCTCGGGCTTCGGTTTGGGATCCTGTCGGAAGTATTCGTGGCTGAGCATATCCTTTGCCGACGGCCGCCGGACCGGATCCAAAGCCAACAAGTCGTTCAGGAGGCTCGCCCCGGCGGTGGTCATGCTGGGAAATCGCGCGCGTACCACGGACCCGTTGGACAGCGCGTTCTTGGGAAGCTTCAAGCTCCGCGCGTTGGGGAGCTTGCGAAACCCGGGCCACGATTCCTCGGTTGGCACGCCGCACAGTTCGAAGATCTTGGACATTTGGTCCACTTCGTTGGAGCCCTGGAGCAAGGGCTCGCGCGTGATGAGCTCGCCGAATATACAGCCCACGCTCCACATGTCGACGGCTGCGTCGTACGTTCTTGTCCCCAGGAGCAATTCCGGGGCGCGGTACCACAATGTCACGACGAGTTGAGTCAGTTTGGGGGGAGGATCGCCGACGTAGCGAGCCATGCCAAAGTCGGCAATCTTGAGCTGGCCACGGTTGTTTAGAAGGAGATTGGATGTTTTGAGGTCACGGTGGAGGATCCAATTTTCGTGCAGGTAGGACACACCCGACGTGAGTTGTAGGAGGAGACGCTTGACTTCGGACGAGAGGAAGGGCTCGGGCATGTCTTCGAGGATGCCCTTGAGGTCGTGTTCGACGAACTCGAGGACGAGGAATATGGAGCTGCCAGGACGGGCGTTAGGGCACAAAGGCTGCTGCTGTCGAGTGGCAAGGGAATGTAGGGGGGATAGACTCACTTGTCCAGCTTGGAAGTGTCCTCGCCAACAACAACCTCCTCCAAGTGCACAATGTTGCGATGCTTACAGTCCTGCAAGATCTGGATCTCTCTCAGCCCCGTCACCGGCAGACCATTTCGATCCGAGGGCTCAAGCTTTAACCTCTTGAGCGCTACGATTTTCCCAGTGGCACGCTCTGTTCCCCTTGCGACCCAACCGTATGTGCCCTCTTCGATATCGTTGAGCTTGTCGTAGTTGTCGACACTGCGACTTTTGCGCCAAGTCCCCGTATCCTCGAACCGCAGGAGCTTGATGGGCTTGGGGTCATTGCTGCTGGTGCTTCCCTGCGTCGTGCTCTCTCCGGTCTCGGGCGTGACTCTGCGTCGTTTGGACGGTCTGTCAATCTCGTTGTCGCGACTTGACTCCGGGCCTCGTGAAGATGCGGCAAGGGCCGTCTGTTTGTCTGCCTCAATCCTACGCGCCTTCTCTGCCTTCTTCCGACGCTTCTCTTCCTTTTCCTGTTTTAACCTTGCATCTAACTGGGCGTCTTCCTCCGTATCTGCCCATCTCGACTTGCCCTTGCTGGCCATGACGGCGAGAAAGAAAAAAAAAAAAAAAAGAGCAACAGCCCAGTTTGAGCTTGGGCGGACTTGTACGAGGATCTGTCGTTTTACGGCTCGGTAAACTCTTTGAAGAGGCTCAAACTCGGGCAATTGAAACTCGAAAACGCGTATTATTCCAATAGTAATGCAAGAGGGAAGAGAAGCGGCAGGGGCGTAGGAACACAAATGGAAGGGTGAATAGTTATACATATAAAGAGGTCTGGTGTTGCATTACAAAAGGGCGCGGGGCGGCGAAGCTCGGGCGGTCGCTCAATGTCCATCTCTCTCCCCAGGCGCCGTCTTTTATCTTATCGCAGCTCCAGATGCGACGACCCCAAAAGTTCAGGTCGACTCACCGCACCCACGACGCCCATCGCAGGCCACGCAACAGAGCAAGTCGGAAGAGCCCGGCTGCTAAATCTCTGGCGAGGATCTCATTATAGTTGCACAAACCTTTGTAGGGTCTCTTCATGAGATCGACATCAGCTGCCGTGACCCGTCGAGGTCTGCAGCGCATCTCACGTCGATGCGCCGTCTCATTCCCTAGTCGACATTGCGCTTCAAAACTTCAAACATCTCCGGCTACAAGGAACTTTTCGGCATCTACCTCTTTTCTTGGGCAGGACAGACAATGGTCAACGCCGTTGGCGAAGCAGCTATTCGAGGCTATATCGGTAGGCACACAGGATAGCCTTGGCTCAGTTTAGCATGACGCCGCGCCATCAAGGTCATTGCTAACCGCTCTGTAGACAACGGGCCCAGTGCCGTTGGCGAGCTATATGCGCATGTGTTTGACTGGAGATCTGGGCGGTTATTATACCGGTGCAATCGGCCAGGATCGCGACCAATTCGGTGTCAAGGGAGACTTCGTCACGTCTCCTGAAATCTCTCAGATATTCGGCGAGCTAGTTGGCGTGTGGTTCATTGCCGAATGGATTAGCCAGGGCCAGCCTAAAGAGGGAGTTCAGTTGATAGAGGTTGGACCTGGTCGCGGTACGCTCATGGATGACATGCTGCGAGTAAGTTCCGCATTTACCACCGTCTTTGCTGTTGCCAGCTTCTTGCACCAACCTATATATTATACCAGCAACTCTAAGAAGTCTTTATCCAGACCATAAAACGCTTTCCGGCCATGGTTGACAGCATTGAGTCGGTCTTCATGGTTGAGGCAAGTCCAGAGCTTCGGGAGAAGCAGAAAACGCTTCTTTGCGGCTCTGATGCCCCGTCCGAAGACTGTGCAGCTGGTTTTCGCAGCACAGGAAAACATTTAGGGAAGCCCGTCGTATGGGCCGAAAGCCTAAAGTCAATTCCAATTGGTAAGTCTGGCTCTGCGTCTGTCCTCTAGAAACTTTGCCGTAACCAATCTTGCTGGTAGAACCCAACAAGGTTCCATTCATTGTGGCACACGAGTTCTTTGATGCCCTTCCGATTCACTGCTTCCAATCGGCTCCAGCACCGGCATCAACCCCCAGGACAGCATCAACCAGCACATCGACGGTCAAGCCTTCCTCCACGGAAACAAACTCGTCGCCAGCGTACGAGTGGCGAGAAATGATGGTTTCGCCCACACACCCAGCCGAGGTTGCTTCAGATCAAGCTAAAGCGAAGGCAGCTGGTAGGGAGGCCTCTGCCGCAGAGTTCCAGCTCATTCTCTCGTCGAAGCCTACCAGGCATTCCCGCTACCTTCCCGAGTCGTCCCCAAGGTACCGACATCTCAAGCAGTCCCCAGGCTCTGTGGTCGAAATATGCCCCGACGCCTCTCTGTATGCCGCGGATTTTGCCGCCCGCATCGGTGGCTCTGACAAGGTGAAAAAGTCGCAACCATGTGGTGCTGCTTTGATTCTGGATTACGGCACATCCGACACCATCCCAATCAACTCCCTGCGAGGTATCCGGCACCACAAGCTGGTCAGTCCCTTCTCAGCGCCGGGCCTTGTCGACCTGAGTGCCGACGTGGACTTTACAGCCATTGCGGAAGCTGCTACCCTGGCCAGTGACGGGGTCGAGGTTCACGGGCCAGTGCCACAAGCCGATTTCCTCGAGCTCATGGGCATACGAGAGCGGGCAGAAATGCTTGTCAGAGCTGCAGGCACCGACGAGTCAACGGCAGAGAGAATCAGAAAGTCATGGAGGCGACTTGTCGATCGAGGACCCAGCGGGATGGGCAAGGTTTACAAGGCTCTTGCCATTTTGCCTGAGAATGATGGTCGAAGACGCCCAGTGGGATTTGGTGGCGATGTTTCACCCAGGTAGCTCGGCCAAGTTCATGACCCGTGTAGTAGTATATTTGTACGATTGAGATTTCATGCGAGGACAATGTCAAAACTCCATTATATAGCGCAAAGCCAGAGTATAGACTAATTCAAGTCACTGACTCCAGAGCAAAGCCTGACCTAGATAGTTGTCACATTACAATAATAAATTGAAACAATAAGAAATCTAGGAGAAAGCGTGATCAAGTTCCCTCCCGCGCAATCAATCCAATGTCATGTACTTAACGTGAAAATAAACGCCTTCAGAGTCTATCGCTTATTTACAAGCTTGGCGTTCTCTTCGTCACTTCCATCATCTGAGAACCTGTCGCCGTCCTCTCCTACAGCAAAAATAGTCTCCCCATCAATAGACTCTCGCGGGATGCTTCGCGTGGAGTTCTGCTGATGACGGTCCGGTCGAGTCGGAGCAGAACTCGTGATTCCCGTGACTGGCGGTGGGTGAGGCTGATTCTTGCCAGCCTCGGCCTCTTCATCATCATCCCAATCGTCGGGGACGCCAATGTCACCAATCTCGAAATTTCCATCGTCATCTTGAGCTATCTCATCACTCATAGCAAAACGACGATTGTTAGCGGTAGGGCGCCATATGTAGGCGACGAATGCAACGTCCACAAAGTAGACAATGTTTAGCCAGCCATCCAGGACAAACCACCGTGATTTCCAATGATTTGGGACAAAGTCGGGGTCATTTATGGAGGCGAAAGTGAAGCTTGTGAAGAAGAAAAAGGCAAAGATGACAATGATGCTGATAAGAATCGACCACCAAAGTTTTCTGTACATGGCCTCCTTTGCATGCTGCTTTCGCTCTCGAAGATCCTTAAGAGTCAAGTTGAGAGAGTTGAGAGTCCACACATAAAATGCTGTCAGCGTTCCGGCCAGAGGCAGGACGATGAGGAGAACAAACGGGCCTAAGCGGCAGGTTAGCGAAAATCCCTAGGACAGTGTGATAGTCTGCAGAGTGGTCCCGACGCCCAATACATACCAGCACTTTCAGGTGAGACAACAAGACTGGTGATGGAGTAGACCAGGCCAAAGACAAAGTGAGCAGCCGCGAGCCATCGAACATATATCATGGTACGCCCCAGAGTGTGCTTGACGACACCATATCCCATGCATACAATGAGCAAGAGGAAGAATGAGAAAGAGTTCCGTGCAGCATTCAGGATGCCGACTACAATGAGGAAGGCCTTTGATCCCACGCCAGAGCCTCCGTTGTTTTGGAAATCTAGTGGCATGAATTAGTAAAAGCGCACAAGGTCCAGGCCCTGTCCGGCGGTTGTAGGCTAGACAAACCGTAATAGCCCCATGTAATGAGCATTTCCACTACCAGAAAGACTAATATCGCCGTAATGTAGTTTTGGACCGCCACTGGAGATGTGTTAGAGGATTGCGACAGGGTATTCTTCTTCTCAAAAAGGCATGGAGTGACCGAGACATACAGATGTCATGACGATGTTGATAGTACAGAAAGCCCCAGTATCCCGCCATGAGCGCGTAAATGATGGACATTGCGCCGTAGAAGGGGAGTTTGGGAATCTGGGTGGCTTGTAATTCACCGTAAGCATTTCGGAATTCAACAACGGCGTTGTACTTGTCGATGGTGTAGCCCTGTGTGACAACACAGTAATATCCGGTCTTCTTCAGGGAATAGTGAACCGGACCCGCGTCTTTGAGGTGGACAGCCTTTGTCAAGATGAGGGCGTTTGACTTCTCGGTGGCATTGTGAGAAACAACGAACTCGCCGATATCAGTGGTATTGCAATGTCCAGATTTTACAAACTCGTCTGTACAAATGGGGAGCTGCCGGGAGAAGAAGAAACGGTTAGATACATCGCAACCATTAGAAATGTAAAGATACACCGCAGCACTGGGCGTTTGGCAAGGGGGAGGCTCGTACTCGTCTTTGGCCATCTGGGTCAGGGACGCCAACCAGGCTACTATCTCGCCACTGGAAGATTATCAAGCTCACGATGGGGTCGGTGCCTTCTGGTATACTAGAGTTGAAAAACTTGACGAGGATAAACGGGTCAACAGGTCCGCCCCATGTTTGCCGACTGTACATGCCTACAAGAGTTTGTTAGATGGGTCGCGAGGAGGCTGGCCAAGCAAGGGGTTGCGAACCAGAGCAATATTGATGGTTGGCCTGTGTGTCATCCTGTCATGAAGCAAGAGGCGTCAGAGTAGAGTTCTCAAGGTAAGCGGCATATTGCGCAAGCTCACAATGGCAACCTCGTGGGCCAAGGTCGTCCGGAAGGACAGGGCCAAGGCAAGGAGCCCGAGGAAGAGCCTCATGGTGGACAGAGAGCTGCAGCACGATAGCTGCGTGGGCAGGATCGGACCAGCGTGGAAACCAGACGCCTATGTCGAGAAGCGCAAGTAATGGGAAGAAAACGCAGGTGTTGCCGCCTGCGGCTCGGTTTCGTCGGTGCGACGGCGATTTGATGAGGCCGGTGGTTGTGCGAAGCAATGGGCTATTAGGTAGAATAGGGTATTGGAGGTTCGCACGAAGTCGTCCTCAGCTCGAGTGGCAGCCCGGGAATGTGATGAGCATCGCTTCGGGGCACGGAGTGTCGGGGTAGGATACAGTGAGCGGCTATGCAATATTCGTATGGTGTGGAATTCCAAATTGCCCGATCCCGGTCAACGAAAGCGGGATTGTTCTGCGATTGTCGGTGCTGTGGAAGAGATTCTGCTCCCGAGAAGTCAAGGCGGCTTGGCCGTGGAGACGTGGCAGCTTTGGCAGCTTCACGGAAATAGACCAGCAGACCAGACAAGCTATCGATTACATATGTAGATATCAGATAGGCCAGTTGGCTGTCCAGAAGTATGAGACAGTGGGGTCAATTAGTACTAGTAGTACTACCACCAGACGCCGCTAAGAGGCCTCAAGTGCTGCGGGGGCAAAGCCAACGGCACCTAAGGCCAGCTAGAATTACACCGGCTACTAGGAACCTAGGCATCTAAGCACCCCAGGCGCCAGCATTGAAGCATCAATTTGATGCAGTTGCACCTTTTACTGGTCTGAATCTCTCCAACATTGAAGCTCACATGCAGCGTCCTTTACTACCGAAGCAGCCGTCTGTCCCATTATGCGCTCGACGAGCATGACGACGTGCTGGCCCAGCTGCGATACCCGGTGCCGCAGAAGAAGTTCTGGGCCTCGCTGACAGCCCACAAAGCAGATATCGAAGCTCTGGTCCGTCATCACTTGGGCGTCAACTGAAGCTATGTTTGCGTTATGGACATTTGGAAAGCAGGCAGTTTCAACGTACCAAGTTACTCCCTGTCCTGATTCGTACCAAATGCTGTCAGAGTAGCAGGCGGCCCCTTCTGTCACACGCTCTATTTAATGGGTGTTTTGATTTATACGAAGCGGAAGAAAGGGCTAGGCATGGCATTTTGCTTCGGTCCTGTCGTGCGCCGTGTGCGCGAGACTGGCAGCTTCTGCTATTTCCAGGCCATCAAGGTACCTCAAGGGCATCTTCAGGGTATTTATTCAATGCCAATACTATCCAGCCGCTCTTTACCCAATGCATTTTCGACCATGTCTTCTTTTCTAATTAAAGGTTGACGTTTGGCAGTGAAATCCTCCGCCACGTTAAATTTTGTTAACCAGTGACAATAGGCGAGCTATTAATGTAGCCCTATTACTTTTACGAGATACTATTTGTAGCAGAATACAGGCACGCTCTTGCTATATATTGAAAGAGAGCTACTGGCGCGCAGCGTTGTAGCAGTTCTTAATCAAATCTAGCAAGAGTGTCCCCGTATTCTGTTACAAATAGTAATTAAATAAAAGTAATAAGGCTAGATTAATAGCTCGCCTATCGTCACTTTTTTCTAACAAGAGCCCAGGGGTTCATCGAAAAGTCTCGCGCGTAAGCAGGACACCCTAGTATTGGATGACGGTTATCTTTGGATTATGGGAAGAACATTGAAGACTCTTAGTTTCTAGAGAAGAAAATTGTGTGCGCCCCTTTTATAGAGCGGCGCTCGGCTCCACGCATCGCTGTGCGCATTATCTAATTTCCGAGTAAACTGCGTCGCGCAGGTCAAAAAAGCCTTTGGGGAAACAGTGCATACACTCGGTTAACAATACGGAGTGCAAAGAGGTGTCAGCAGTTGTGTCAAGCACGCTGCTCGCATCTGAGATCATCAGCTACTTCCCTCTTGGATCCGGCCTATCAAGTGACTGATCCGACTTTCTCGCTGGTGCTAGGGAACGTAATGCTTCCTTCTTGGAGTCACCCACCTTCCTCATGTGCAAGCTAATAGCATATTCACCCCTAACCGGGTTTCCTACTAAGTAACAATTCTGCCTGTACCATGGAGTAGCGCATAATGATTTGTTGAGTGTCGTAGCGAAGTAAACATTCCCTTAAGAGGCCACTTCCAGTCGAGGTGCCGCCGTCTTCGTCTCTAAATGAATCCGTCGGCGCTCAGCATCCACGAGATAGAATCTCTGGTGGCCAGAAAATTTCGGCAGCATCAGGTGATGCCGGTCGCTTTGTTCGCGCAAGCATGCATTCCCCTTGGAACTCTCCTGGCTCAGGTTTGGGAGGCCCTTCGTTGTGGCAGTGCTGTCGGCATCGTTGAATTCCAGGTGGGTTTCAGCAGGTCCGATTTAACCACAGGCGCGCGCAAGTGGCGGCGCAAACCGCAGTCAAGCCACGAACCCAGCCACAACACTCTCTGAGATGTAGACCAGCAAAAACATGACCTTGGATGCAAGTTCACCAATTATACTCCCATATCGGGTAGTCACTTCAGGTTCGTGAGCTAACCGGGATAGCTGTCCTTCCACAGCTCTCTAACGTTTCCAGCTGCTCAACCGGAATTATGGGAAAGGGGACTGACAAGCTCTATGTAAGGACACAACGCCCGTCTTCTATCAACCTCTTGCCCTCTCCCTCTCTCCCCGTTGCTGCCGCTAACCCTCTCCCTCGTCGCAGATTACACATTCCGAGTGGTCGTCGTCGGATGCCTATTCCGCCAGTGCAGGCGCCAAGTCTTCGTCACTGAGCGCATCCGGGGCTGCTCCATTTCGTCGTCTGCCCTTTAACTTTTGCGCCGCCAGCCTCCAGCCTTTCAAGAACCCAGTTTGCACATCCGATGGCACCATTTTCGATGTCGAGGTCATAAGCGCATGGCTCGAGAAACACCCGAACCAGAATCCCGTTAATGGCGAACCCCTTCACAAGAAGGATTTAATCCGCTTGAACTTTGCGCGCAATGCTGCTTCAGACTCCCTCGGTGCTGGGCTGAGCGACGGCAAAGGCGACTTGATTGATCCCGTCACCTACAAGATCTTCACCGACAACACCCATATCGTGGCTATTCGCCATGGCACGTATGCGAATGTGTTCGCGTGGGAGACGGTAGAGCGCATGAATATCAAAGCCAAGCTATGGCAGGACCTCGTCGACGACGAACCCTTTAGCCGAGCCGATATTATTACCTTGCAAGATCCAAAAAATGCCGCTAGTCGTAATCTCGAGCAATTCAAGTATATCAAAGATGGAGAAGGGGCACAGCTTACGAAGGAGCAAGAGGAGGAGCGCAATGCAGGTGGCATCAACGCCGGCGCATTAGGAAGCATGGGAGACAAGGTCTTGAAGGCAAAGGCCGCTGTCGAGAAGGCTCGCAAAGCACGAGAAGCCGGGGGGGATGTCAACCGGAGCTCTAGCGCTTTAACAAAACCCTCAGCCACATCTACAGGTCCATCATCGATCATAGTAGCATCCCAGCCTGCGATCAATAACAAAAAGCTAGCCGCAAATGCGGCTGCCTACACCACTGGAAAGGCGGCCGCGAGTTTCACAAGTACTGGCTTGACGCCAGAAACCAGCGGCGAGCGGGCTTTGTTGACGGACGAGGAGTTTATGCTCAAGCCGAAACGGGTCAAAACCAAGGGCTATGCTCGCATAGAGACCAACCTGGGCGACTTGACTGTTGAGCTACACACCGACACGGCGCCAAGAGCAGTCTGGAACTTCATCAGGTTAGCGCAGACGGGCTACTACAAAGGCGTCGCCTTTCATCGAAACATACCCAACTTTATGATTCAGGGTGGTGATCCGTCGGGAACTGGCAAAGGCGGTTCAAGTATATGGGGCAAGTACTTTAACGACGAGTTTGACGGACCACTCACGCATAACAGCAGAGGCATATGTGAGTACAATATTCCGTTTGTCAACTGGACTTTTTATTTTGGTTCATGCCCGCCGGTTCGCTGACAAACGCCCCCCTACCTTCACCACAGTGTCCATGGCCAACAAGGGGAAAAACACAAACTCCAGCCAATTCTTCATCACTTACAAGGCAACTCCCCACCTCGACCGGAAACACACGATATTTGGACTCGTGGTCGACGGCAAGGATGTCCTCTCCAAGATGGAGGCGGTTCAGACGGACGGGTCCAACAGACCTCTGAACAAGATATTCATCAGAGACGTGGTCGTGTTTGTAGACCCCTTTGAGGAGTTCCAGACACAGAGGAAGGAGCAGGAACGGCAAGAGCACGAGCAGGAAGAGATCCGTCGCAAAGGCGGCACTGATGACGACAGGACGACTTGGACGGGGAAGCGGATACGAGGGGATGGCACGATCGTCTCGGCCGAGGGAAAGGAGAGTGTGGGCAAATATTTAAATAAAGGTGCTGTTTCAGGTAATGGGGGTGATGAGCCAGAGGCTATTGGCTCAAGGCTAGAGGATTGGCAAGAACCAGCGCGGAAGAAGATGAAGGGAAGTGGAGGCTTTGGCAACTTTGATAGTTGGTAGCAGAGGAGATGCACCCAACTGCACGGATCATGCCCCAAAGTCAAGCGAGTGTAATTATACCTGTGGAGTTGATCGTTGTGGGCATAATCAAGTTGATTGGACTGTCTTATTTAGAAGCGGAAAATCGCACATCTCACATGAGCTAATCGCCCTCCGTTTGTAATGCCGAGTACTCTTTTTCCCGACTTTCGGTTTCGTCCACAATTTCTTGATTACAGCGTGGTTGTCCAACACCTGTCCCTAGACACCCCGTGCTCTATCTGGCTTGAAGAAAAAATATACAAGAAACAATGAAGCTGATACAATGAAGAAGCTTCAGGATATCCAATGAATTCGAGCACACAGCGCCGCCGTAAACAGCGAGGTTGCATAATGCAAAGCTGCAACGCTGAATGATGCCCTCGCTAAATTGATGGATTCGAATACCCATAGATGGTAGATTTATAAACATAGCATACATTGAAGATATTTTACATCGAAAACAAGTATCCATCATCATTTCAATCGTACTACTACAACGTTTTACACTATCATTGGCAATGCAGTGTCCGGTAGAGAAGGTAGCTTCGACGTTGGGATCTGATCCCACAGCAGTGTGTGAACCTGCTCCTTGACAATACTCGACACAACACGGGCCTGTTCAAATCCTGTTTCTTGATATATGGCCTCTAAGCGATCCAGGACATATGCAAGCGTTTCAGGTGTCGTCGAGGACGACATGCCGAGCGTGTAAAGTGGCCATATGATGGTATGGCTAGCTGTAGCCAAAGTCAGGAACCGTTCTGCTCCTTTCTCATGTCCGCTTGACTGTGTAGGATCAAACAAGGTAGGCTTTCGCGGTGCGGCAGAAGAGAGGGAGGAAGGGGCGTCTGCAGTGCTGCTAGAGGCCTGAGGCAATGCTTTTTGATCCGATGGCGATAGGATCCGGTGCGGAAGCTGCTGGGTAGGTATAGGCGCGACAGTGTGGCGACCTTGTCTGTCGCGAACGATATCCTTGCCACTGACGATCCCAAAGTGCTGTGGCACGCTAGAAACGAATGCTTCACCCAGCATTTGTATGAGTTTCATGGCTTTGACAAGCTGAAGCTGGTGATGGCTTGGCAGCATTGTCGGGTCTTCGGTACTGCCGCAAAGAACCTCGACAATAGTCTCCTGGACCAACATCCTCATGGTACGAATACCATTCCAGGTAGTTGCTTGAGTAAGACCTCGATAGATGTGGCAGGTGTCTCCCAAAACGGCTGGATGTGGCTTGGATAGCTTCGCTTGACGATAATACCACCCGGGCGGAAGGCTCGCGATCAAGGCCGAGAATTGGTCTTCTACATCGCACAGCTTCTTGACAACGGCGTCAACCCCCGAAACCTTGCCGGACTTGATATCATGCCGAACTTGCAGTGCATTGTACAATGTGTCAACAACTCGCCATATGGGACCACTGGTGTCAGTCAAGTGCCACAACTCGTTACGGAGATCGACCATGGACTGCGGCATGGGTAAGCCGCTACGAATACAACTGATCAGGACAGTGTGACAGAGCATGATGAACATTCTGGCTCCAGCCTTGGTGCGAAACTGGGCAGCTCCTCTCATACTCGCCAAGGTTGCGGCACCGTTGACATGATCTTGCCAGGCCCTAATGGTTTGCGGGGTGCGGCCGGAGACAAATTCATAAGTTCCCAAAATAAGCACGGCCAGCATAGTGCTGTCCTTGACCGCCTCGGTTGGATTGCTAAGAGCTGAGTTGGCAAGGCCCAGAGCAATAGTATAGCTCTGGCGGGCGCGTCTAAACGTCTCGGGGCATCGAGTAAGTTTCGATAAGCTGGTGAGGCCGACAGCCGTCATGCTAGCAGTGATGCAGTCGGTCGAGTCCGTATCATAGGTAGGCGGCGGTTTCCATACATCGTAGATGAAGTCATAATTTTGGTAGCAGCCGTGGTCAGTGGCAACATAGCGGGCGAAGAAAAAGGCTATGCCACGTTCCTGCAGAGAATCCGTCAGGCCATAAGGGATTCTGGTAGTATTGGTGACGGCAGTGGTGGTGAGGGTGGTGGAGGTTCGACTGCTGTAGTCTCGATTTTGATGACGGCCAACAAGGCTGCTGCCAGAAATGCTCCCACGAGTTTCTCCCCGGGCACACTCAGTAGCGTAGTCCTCCTCACTTGACGGAGATGTCTCGCCCAAAAATGGTTGGGGCTGTCGGATAGCTAAAGACGGCGATGAAGATAGTGAAGACCGAGTCGGGGATGGCGGCGTGTCTGGAATGATAGCGCTGGCAAGTCTGGCGTTCCTGGGTCGCCTTCGGGTTGTGGTGGCTCGCTTGATTACATGGTGGCTCTCGTCTCGAAACATGAGATCAACCATGTTGCGATATCCAGGACATTTCTGCTGGCGCTTTTCGCACTGGCCGCAGGTAGGGGTTCTCTGATCGCACTACAATGCGGGAGGAGGATAAGAAAAAGGTTTCAGGATATAGTGAGATGGAACCTTTGAGGTGAGAGGAGGGGAGGTTACGAGCATTGCGCATTGAGAACTCACCCGTATCTTGCGCTCTCGACAGTTGGAACAGCCCTTGGAGGGCTTTCCACAATACACCATGGTGGTAGGGTTGAGGGAGAAATGTTTCCTTTTGGGTCAAAAACTACCCAACAATGGATTTCGGTTGAGCACTGGGGCGAGAAAGGAGAGAGAGAATTGAGGCTGACGTCTGTACGGATAGGGCTGAGAAGGAGCTGAGGTTGGGCCGAGTTGGGGGCGCAGAGGCTTCAGGCACATACAGACTGGCATTCGACGACAAGCTTCTATGAAAGCGTTGAGATGATGATTGTTCAAGAGAATGTTGTCATTGTCAGCTGGAACGGGCCACCGAACATTGCACGCCGATTTATTATGGCGAATATTCTACAACGGATAGGGCGTAGCCATGTTATATGGGAGTGAGTACTTATGCTGACATGGAGCGGTTGGCAAGGTGGTATTGTGGTAAACTGTCAATGGGGACGAATGTAAAGATGGAGAAGGAGGAGGGGACTTGACTTTAGGAAACCGGGGCACTGGGCGCTGGGAAGGAGCCAACGAAGCGAAGCGCAGCTGCTGTTTGGTCTGGTGCTATCAATTGATAGGTTGCTGCGGTGTTGTCACTGGTGGGCGCGGGAATCCGGCTGCGGGATTTTAGCCTTGCAAAGCACTTGAGACCACTTGACGCATCAATGATGGGAAACTTTGGAAGTACTACAAAGTAACAGGACCTAACGGGTTGTCTGGGCTATTGGGTTGTTGTCCCCAGTGGCAATCGTGGCATTATGTGCTGTGACAACCAGTCGAGTTTCGTTGGTTGGATTGCTCGTTGCTCACGGCCAAAACCGGAACCTGGACCTTGCAAAAGAAATGGTACATGTGTATTTTTAGCCAAGGAGCTCGTCAGTGTACATATTTTTTTTATTGGAAACCTCAAGTGGTCTCTCTAACCCACAAGGCCTTGCAGACCAGGGGTTACATTGGACTTGTCAGATGCAACCCCCCAACTTTATCTCTCGTCACCGCACCCCCAAGCCATGCCTACTCTTCCGTATTTGGACAGATGCAAGTTAACCGCCCGAGTAGTAAATACTGGAGTAACGTCAACTATTTTGTAGGCAGATGTTATACATGTATGACACGCAAGATCCAGCACCCACCGGCTACGTACGAATATGTCTTCCCACATAGATACGGGAGCACCACGATGCACATCATCATTTTGCACATGCAGGTCACACACCCACGACAACAGCCCCGAAAACCGCCCCCAAATTTCACGTCAGGTCGACTCCATCCGTCATCCATCCGTCCTGTGATTTGTGTCACTGGTTGGTATTGGCTTGTGGTTGGAGCGGCCTTCCCGAGCGCCTTCAGAGGGATTGACCGCACATGGGTTCAGGCCTTGAACTCTTCAACCAACTTGCATCCGTACTGCATTGACCCTTTTTGAGCCATCAATCTTTCTCCACCCCCTCCGCCAGTTTTGCTCGTTCCATCAACAGGCAGTCGCGCGCTTGGAAACCAAAGTTTAAAAGAAACTTGGCCAACGAGTATTGCTTACTTGCCTAGGTACCTAGGTCGGTGTGTTAACCATCCATCTACCTTGGTTGCTAGGTACTACGTATGTATTTACAAACTAATCCATACAGTCATGGTCCGGGACTGTTTGTCCTGAACTGCATTTGTGGTGCCTCTCCAATTCTATCATGGTCAAAATGCCCAAAAGCTCCAGGTGGCCGGGCAAGAAATGGTAAAAGAAATAAAAATTCCATATATACATACAAAACATATATACACAAAATGACTAACCACAAACAATCCACATCTCGTACTATACACGCAATTTCAGCTGTGAAAGCCGCAGTATACAGACAGCTCTCCATCTCAAAATCATCAATACCCCGTACATGGACACGTGGCCCCAAAGGCTTGCGCTTGAGGCAACGCGATAGCTGACCGTGCCAAAATAAACTTACACATTAAATCCAGCACCGTTCACACAGCCAAAAAGAGGAAAAACAAGTCACGATTGGCCCCTAGCCTTCGAGTGGCTTGCCGACGGAAACTGTCAGTTCCTGAGGGTTTGGATCGTTTACGAACCCAGATTGGTCCTCGCCAGATGACGACCCGACATCATCATAGGGGAACGCGTAGCCTCGACTCTGGACGCTGACCTGGTGGCAGATGCGCGAGTAGTGATTGGTAACCGCGTCCTTGTAGTACGAATCTACCTTTTCGCCTTCGGGCTGATTCGCGTTCACCAGCAGCGTGGAGCGGTTAAACGCAGCGGCAATCCGCGCTCCAATGTTGAGCATCTCGTCGGTTACGTCTTTGCCGCCGGCAAACGGCCCCGTGCTGCAAGTGAAAATATCAGACGCGGACGGTTTGGCAAAGGAGCCAACCGAGCCAAAGGTCAGTTTGCCGTCCTTGACACGGCCAACGGCATCCCCCCATTTGAACTGAGTATTGGCAGTCAAGTCCTCGGACGTGTACTTTTCCCAGACGGAATCGACGTACGACTGGTAGTACCCGTCAAACAAGCCGTTTATCAAGACGCCGCCCGAATTCGGGCTCAAGGCTCGCAGGTTGGCCCCCGAGGACGAGCGTATAACGAGCTTGTCCCAGCCCTTGCCGTCATTCTTAGCCTGGGCTTCGAGCTCGGAGCAAACCTTGTCCAGGCCATCCGAGGGCATCCCGGGCACAGTCTTGACTTTGCCGTCTCCCGCCTTCAGCTGCAGGGAAATAGGGAGGCTGACAAAATCGACAAAGGAGATGTTGGCATACAGCTCTTGCTGATTCCAAGTGAACTCGCAAAAGCCCCAATCCAGGTCGTAATTGGGGTCTGCCGGGTTTGTCGCCGACGGTTCAACCAGCGCGGGCCCGGGGTTGATGAAGAAAGTCAAAGGCTTCTCCTTGCAAAACCAGATGCGTGCGCCAGAGATGCGAGGGACGGAAATGGTTCTTGCGGTACCGGAGGCGCCGATTGGAATTGCGCAGTCGGCACCGAGCGGCTGGAGAGTGTTGCTGGGGTTTGCAGGACGGTATGGGGTTTTGCCATCTGACCCGAGCAGCATGACCCCTTTATCATCCTGGCCGGTGATGTGAGCATAAAGCTGCGCAGAGCCAGTGTCGTTGCGAAGAATGACATTGAGTGTTGATGCCATGATGATTGTCCTTCTCTTTCTGTTCGACTTCTAGTACTAATGTCTCTATTACTCAATGTTAGGACGTGCGTGAGTAAAGGGGGTAAGAAGGTAGAAACACATACGTTCGCGTCTTAGGAAACGGGCTGGGGGCGATGTCGGGTGTAGGCTTCAAATCGTGATTCTCATGAAAGTGTCTCTCCAGAGAGGCACGTTGGCAAGATGTGATGGATAGATTATATCGCCGTGGTCCTTGGGCGCGCAGGCGTTCATTTTATACCAGACGTCATGACGGCTTCCTGTCCTCCAGCCTTCCTCCCCTTGCCTACCTCTTGGCAGTGATCAACTGGTGTGGAGAGATGAGTTCCTGACTATGCCATTATGACCTTGTGCCCCAGTTTAAAGCCCCGAGGGCCCCAGGGTTCGTCGCGCCGTGCCGTTGCAAACCAGACCTGAAAGCACGAGGTACCTGGCTATCGCGCTCCGCACTACAATACACTGCAGTGCATTAGCGTGTACCTTCTTGGTGCTTGTAAGTAGTAGTACGCAGACTGTCGCCGAGCTCAATCCACATGTAGCCTCAAGTGCTAGAGCCTAGAGGTAGATGGTCAGGCCCAGTGGCTAGCTCGCCTGTCAGGAATGGTGGCAGACATAAAGAGCGGACAAGATGACATCAACGTTGGCAATTGGCTCTATGGCCGTATGGCATCGTCAAGGCCACGGGACTGCCGCTCCACGTTTCTTCTTCACGAGGCTTGTCAGCCACCAGCCGTCGCCCGCCGCCGGCCATCACCAGTATTTCGCTCCATTCCATCATGTCAACGGGTTGCTCAATGGCTTTGGGGCATCTTGTTGTTAGTGCTATGCCGGGCGATACTAGCCAAAGCTTGTCCTTTTGTGCGCAAACCAGAGCAAGGCTGGAGCGTGACATGCTCACTGCTTGCCGATCGGTAGTTGCCTCGCATCTAGTTACAATATGCATCGCTTCGTCGCCATCTCCGCCGCACCTCCTCGTCGTCAGATGACTTCAGCCATCATTTGATTATCGCGTCTTGGCCCGCCACCCACCCATACGTTGGAAGTCTACTGATTTTGGTCAGCGGCGTCACTCTACAATATCACCATCTCGTGTGTAAAAGAACACATGGTGTCAAGTTGGTACGGAGAGCCAAACCGGCATTGCGGCTCAAGTTTCATGCTGGGCGTCCAAAACAGAGCACGCCAATCCTCTCTTCGTATCTACAATGCTTGGCTCTTTGATCACTCCCACCACGCCTTCAGCCCAAATTCCAGCTCTGGTCCCATCATCACTAATGTGTATACAGCCATCATCGGGGCCAGCGCTGTCGTCAGCGACTTGGCCAGATGGGATCCGTAACCACCACTCTCTTCACCCGTCTCATGGTTGCCAGCCTTCGCATCGTTATGAGGGGAATGATCTACTTGGCCAGAGGTTGCTGGTGTCGTGTCAGATATAGCACATACTGTTCCCTTCTCACCATGACCTCTGCACGTATTGTGCCAGTCTCCACGTTTCTCGGCGTCTGAAGAGTTGAAATAGGCCTTCACCGACTTGACGACAATCGCAGCGTCAGATGATGGTGGCCCGCCTGACCACAACTGATTGCCGTTGCTCCAATGTTGTAATATGACGTGTCCACCACTTGACGGGACGTTCTCACCCTTCATATCGCCTAATCTTTCCCCGTCGGCGTAGAAATAGACGTGACCCGGCAAATAGTCGAAGCGATATTCATGGAAGCCTTTGGTCGGATCAAACTTTAAATTGGTCGTCTTAAACGTGCCCGTCTTGCTCGCGTCGTAGCCATCTTTTGCCGATAGGCTGGAGTGGATGACGAGATTCACGGGGAAGACCTTCTTCACTTCGTCAAACTGTCGCGAGAGAAACTCCATATCGATCTCTTGTGTGTCATTGAAATACTACAATACCTTAGCCCCGGTCTTTGCTCTTCAGATACTTCGAGCGCATACGTACCCAGAAAAACGCTGCACACGTACCACTGACATGCGAAAGCTTCATTGTTGCTCGGTATGACCCCCAGAACATGTCCCTTCGGCTCGTGTCCACCTCAGCAGCGGATATGGCATTCAAGGATGTGATTTGACTGCCAACCCGAAGAGCTATGCCCCTTGGCTCGTGTACATCGCCTTGTACGTCTTGCGGTTCCGGAAGAAGAAACACATTTTCTGGAAGAAATGTCTTGCCATATGTCCCTCTGCCAGCTATAGCAGAGACATTAAACTGTTGTTTGGTCCACTCAGAAGCTTGCGATAGGTCCTTCATTGATCCAAAGTCCGTTTCTAGCTTGTCCGTAAATAATATGGAACTGTTTTCAGGCTGCCGGTCAGTCATCAAATATCCGCAGGTACATATCGCGAGGGCGATACGGGGCACCATCAGTAGACTAAATGCCAAAGCCCAATGCATGACGGACATGGAAGTGCTGCGTGATATTTCCAGTTTTCCTGATGTCCTTTTATAAATGCTGGCCCGCTCAGTTCATGAATTCTTCTGTCAGTGCCTACACACAGGTCCTCGTATCGTATTCCGTCTCGTAATTGACAGGAATATATGATTGCAATGAGTACACAGGATTTGCTGTGCTTATGCGGACTCGGCGGGTCGAAAGCTCAGCGAGGGTGTCAGAAGATGTCGGCGTCAAAGAGAAATTAGGGATCAAATGGCAATCAGATGCTGCTTGTGAATTCAGAATCACACATCGTCGACTGAAAGATGGCGCACCATGGAAGGTCTTCCTACCTCCAGAGTGAACCTTTCATGTCTGCTACCTTACCTGGCAGGCAGGCACAACCCCCTCCCAGCTATTCTGATGTATGTATTCGGGTATCCTGCAGGCCTCGGAGACTTCGCCAGGCGGCAGGAGACGTCAACTGGTGACTTTAAGACTCCAAGACACCAGGTAGAGCCCGAGATGCAGCAACACTCAGTGCAAGCACTCCTATACTCCACGTTCTAATGTTACACCCAGAATATCCTCTACCCTTGCGTTTCCAAAATTCATGCATATGGGAGGATTCAAGTAGATGACAGAGAAGCGATTATTGATTGATTGTAATACGAAGTATCTATACACTAGCGAGCGGGCCTGCCTCCTCTCAAAACTATTCGGTTCACACACGTTGTAGCGGCGATCCGGCCCTGTAGGCCGATTGCCCCTGTCGTTCAACGTGATGCCTGTTCTGTGGTTGCGTGGCCAGCGGGCAAAAGAGCAGTGGCAAATAAAAATGAGCATAAACACGAAAGAAAAGAAAATAGATAAAGACCCAAGGAAACAACCAAATACCCCTCAAAGGGAAATGCAACAATCTGTATATCGAACAAGGTATCTGAGAAGCAAAATAATTAAGCAAACCCAAAAAAAAAAATACGATAGAGAAGGATAGAAGACACAAAGAACAAACGAAGAATGCAAACTGCTAAGAATGTAACGAGAATCGCCAAAAAAAAATACAAGGGCAAAATAAAGCAGAGTAGAGAATTAAAGCCAGTAGGTGTCGAGGCTAATCGAACTGACGATAGAAGCGAAAGACGGCATCGCCGTCATGGACCAGCCAATCGACTCGCCATTTGCAGTCTTCGACTAGTGTTGCCGCTGTAAAAATCCTATTTCATCCGCCGAGGCCCAGAAATAGCGCACCCTAATGTATCCGTCCGTATCTCATTCCCTACTTCACCACCTGAAGCAGATTATTGCCCAAATACCCCCTTCCATTAAGAAAAAGTAACGGCACACAACTGAAGTGGCCAAAGCAGCTTGACGGCCACTTGCTCTGTCTCAAGCGCCGTAAGAGATATCGAATCGACCCGCAAGGAAATTGTGACAAAGGAAATGCCAGATTCAATAAATACTCAGAACATGCTATACTCCTTTCCGAAACCGTCGCGCCGGACGACACCCAAGCAATCAAGGAAATCAAAAGTCGAGAAGCCAACTCAACTCGACTTGACAACGCGAACAAGATGACGACATAGCGCAACCAAGGTATTCGCCAAGGAAAGGGAGACCGAGAGGCGACTCCAATGACGCAAGGAAAAATTCGTTTCAATCGTTTCAGTATTATTAATACACGCTGTCCTCGTCTGCCCCCTGCGAGGTCATCGACGGGGTAGAGACATTTGAGGAAGCTTCGAGATCGTCGACATAGCCGACCAGTGCCTGGGAGTGCAGTTTGAAGGATTCGCCCATTAGACGAGTTATGCTATCGCAAATATGTCAGCAGTTCATTCTTTTTACAATCGTCATTATTTCTGCAGCGGGTGGCTCCAGAGTCAGAAAATTGAAACTTACCCCCAAACAACTACTTCGTCGAGCATGGAACCCCAGAGGCGGGTCACAATTGAGCTCATTTGCGACATGTAGCTTTCGTCGAGATCTTTAGCAAAGAGCTGTCGAACTTTGTTATACATGGCGAGTTCCTCCTGAGTTGCTGGCTCTTCGTCATGTTCCAGGCGATAGAGCCACAAGGATAGGATGATCATCAGATCCATGCCGCACAGTGGATGTTCGACACTCCAATTTGTCGGCGAAGTGCGAGCAACCCAGCGAACTCCTTGGACCACAGCAGTTTCAATGCAGACGTAACACTCTTCAATCACCTTGATCATCTCACTCGATCGCTTTACGCGATCGCGGGCGTGAGACATTGCAGCAGCCACTTCATATGGATCATGATAACGGAGAGCCTCTTGTACACTCTTCAAGTCGACCTCCAATCGCGCACGAGCATTGCGATACATTGCCTTGGCATTGAAGATTAGGGGATGGCCTTTGTGTGGTGCACTCAGCGGGACAGCAACCGTCTCTGGTTCGCACATATCCAACGATTTCTCCCAGGTTTCGAGGGCGAGGCGGAGTTTGTATTCCGTTACAACATCCTGAAGAGCCTCAGGGCTGCGCTTGTGATACCAAACTTCTAGGAACAAAGCATTGATCATCACGCGAGTTGCAAAGGCGCTGTATCGGAGAGTTTCGCCTTGAAAGAGGTTGTCATGGGCCTCCATAAATGTAACTGCAGTGGCGTTGTTAACGAGCTCTGACCACGCACCGTCCTCAGTGCCTTGCATATTCCACATAGCTTCCGTAGATGGTAGTTGAAGATCCTCGAATTCATTAAAGCTGATTGCCGGGGTATGGTTGTATGTCAAGGTTAGCAGGCCGAAAAAAATGTAGACGGCATAGTAAGTGCGACGGCAACCCTCATCCTCAATCCATTCTGCCCGGCTTGGCTTGGCGGAGTCCCGTGCTTCCTGGCGAAGTTTCAGCTCGTATCTATTGCCGGCAACCATGTTGGCCAGCAAACTCTTGATTGAGCAAGCCCACTCCAAGCCTTTGGGGTCCCCACTCCAGCTAGCAAAGATCATGTTGAGAAGCGAGCTCTGCATGGTCCAGAGAGGGCATTTCCGCGAACTGAAATTCTCCTTGTTTTGGAGAAATTGGTTGACGAGCACTTTGGAGCCAATGTGGAGCATGTACGCCTGGTCCTGGTCGAAAGCGTAAAGTGCGCCGATGCTGAGGACAGCCAGAAGCAACGGGGGTGACACCTGCGAAGGATTGAAAGATGCTGGATGGAGGAAAGGCAGATGGTGATGGAATAAACCAAAGTAAGTTGACAGATAGCGGTTCAAGGACCCCAATCCAGGCAGGCGAAACCCTTCAGGAATCGCGTGCTCACGATCATAGCTGCGAATGTTATCCAAAATGACGTTTCGTTGTTCGTCCCCTGCCACCTGTGGAGGGTGAAAGCCAGCATGAGCAGGATCAACGAGGGAAGGGCTTTGTGGAGTAGGCGTTCCGGCAATAGCGTCAGGGAGAGCCTGAATAATGGACTGCAGGGAGGGCACAAGGCCGCTACCATGTTGTCCAGCCATAGGAGGAAGCTGGTTTGCGCGAGGTTGAATGGTAGCGTTCGAGGTGAAGGATTGTTGCGATTCGAAGGACCCAGACGCGCTAGACGATATTGAATGAGTCTTGGGTTCGTTGACAGTCGGGGGGATGAAGCCATCCCACTGCATCTGAGGCAATGCAATAGCACCTGAGGGATATGTGACGGTAGATTCCATGATAGTTGATCCATGAGGTGAGTATGCCAAGGAAGCATTGTCTTCGTAGGTGCTATCGTCACCACGCATAGCAGCAGTAGCCTTGTGATGCAAATCGGCTACAAGCATGGCAGCAGCTTCTACGTCAAAAAGGCTATCATTGCCCACTTCCATCTGCTCCAAGGTTGACGTGTCCAGAGCCAACTGGGTCTTGGATGGACCGCCAATTGCGCGCGTCTTGGGGCCGCCTGCACGGCGTTTGCCATCGCTGTGTAGAGGGACACCTCCATCCTTTGCGTGCACAGTTCGATCATGCCTGAGAAGTAGATCGCGTCTGACAAACGTACTTCTACATTTCATGCATTTGAAAGGTCTCTCTTTGGTATCTGCACGATGTCAGCTGAGTTTGAATATTTGACTATCCATAATAAGACAAGGGAGAGATGACGAGGCAAGCAAACGGAAAGAAAGAGGACGGGAGAAAAACATGTACAAACAGCGTGCTTGGCGGAACCACAGAAGCACGTTTAAAAATTGAGACCGATGACAACCAAGAAAATACAACTAAATCCTCCGGAATATAACGAAGGGGGGGGCGATATCGCGGCAACGGCTGAATTGGCTTGGGTACCTACGTGAACGTTCGTGTCTACTCCGGTGCTCACTTCTACTGAAGGCTCTGTTACAGAACTGGCACTTGTATTTGCGTTCTGGCGCGAGAGATGCCTTCCGCGAGGAAGGTGTCGAGGCCGCTTGTGGCGGGAGGACTGCGACGCTGGCGCCGGGCATCTTGATGACCAAATCGTGTGATCTGTGTTTGACAGTACGAAGTAATGGTGGCAGAAACGGCGACGGTGGTTGCTCTCTCTAGTCACGATTCGGGCCAAAACTTGAAGGGTAGATGCTGGCAGCACGATGGTTGAATATCGTCTGATCAAGACTCTCGCTTTCGCTCTCGACTCCTAGCTCCTCGCTCGCACGCGCTCCCGTGGGATTTAAAGTGTGACAGCGGTGGATTCGATCGTGAAGTTGGTCATTGGTGATGATGGTATTCTGGTCATGGAAAGGCTGTGAGGGGTTCTAGAATTAGGAAGAAAAGGAGGCTCTATATGGCCTCGAAGGGTCAGCTCCTAACAAACGGGATGCTGACGATGGTGATTCCAAGCGACGAGATGGCGAGATGGGTGGGATGGATGGGATGGAACGGAGAGGGGAGAGGCGAGAGGAGAGGCCAGAGATCTAGTAGTCGACAAGAACAGAGAGGGGGGAGGGGAGAGAGCCTGGGGGACCACAGGACAGCAGCGGCACAGGGGGGTTGGATTAAGAGGAAAGGGGGGGCGCGCGCAATAGACAGAGTGAACGAAAAGTGGGAGGAGAGGGAGGAAAGGAGGGGATGGAGGGGTTGGGTGGCTGAGGAGCACTCGGGAGCTTGAAGCTACTTAGTACTACGGAGTATTACTTTTCAGCAACGGCCTGGCATGGGCAGACCGTGACACCTGGACTCTCACCTGCTCGAGAAGCCGAATGGCCCAGGGCATGCTGGATCGCGGTATGTGGCCGTGTCAAGGACAGCGTGGTTCGTTGTGCGTGGCTCGTGCCAGCGCAGCAATAGACAAGACAGGTGGACAATGCCGCGACGCGTGAGGTGGGCCATGGACCAGATGGCGTGTCATGGGAGAGAAGGGTGTGGGCGCAAGAGACCAGGGGTGGAGTTTCGAGCCCGGCGCTGGCGTTGAAGCAGCCCGGCTGGTCAACTGGTGTTCTAAAGCTGCCTGGCTTGCTGCGCTGGTTGAAGTCGATGGTGCTAGACTTGGCTAACTGGGCGTTGCTCCTGTCATCCTTCCATGCGTTTGCTTGCAAGCAGGGAGCGGGCTCTACGGAGCACCATTGAGAGTGACGAGCGGGGCTTTTTAGCGGAAAGTTGAGGGGCCTAGCGTCCAGTCGTAGCGGGGCTACTTGGCCCCTCTCCCAGGTACCAGACCGTTGCCAACTAAGCCCGCTGAGCCCGCTGTTACTATTTTCCTCGCGCACCTGCAGGCACATCGAAGTTTACCAAGCTGGTGCGAAAGTTTTTACCAGTACTCGTACGGAGTACATCTAGGTACATACTTCCTGTCAAGCTCCCCCGGCCGCCCTCGCGGAATGCTCAGGTACGTGGGGGGTACATACACAATACTTATCTTTATTTAACATTTGTATGCCAGACCCAAGTAGCCACTCCGCCCACTTGATCACACCAGTTGGCTGCCGTTTTGCCTTGGCAGCACCCGTCGACCAGTGTCACGTTCAGGCGTTGTCAAGGACACCCGAGGAACATACAGCAATGGAAGGAGTAATAGTCCGTAACCCCGTCTCAAGAAAATTTTGTCAGGAGAGAGAGCAGATGGCACTTGAGCCCCCAAGCAAGCTCACACACCTCCTCCATCGCCGTTAAAGCGGCACCGATCGACCAATTGCTTAGTACATTTTCCTCGGCGCACGGGGCAACGGTAGCGGGCGTTCCGCTTACGACTGAGCTCCAATCTTAGTACTGGACAGTCATTACTGTAACTTGTGTCCGCACAGAGATTTTCATATGAAGAGTACTCCGTATAAACATGCCTACCTAAGCGTGCTCTTGCAGGATGTTTATATCAAGAAACGGCTCATTAGTATAGGCTGATGGCTACGGACTCGACACAGTGTTCCGCACGTAAAGCATGTCTGTAATATGTTGGTAATCGGCGTCAGTTGACTCTTTCCAGCCTTGGGTATCCAGTCCGCATATGTGCAATAACCACTGGCGTACATCAGTTCGACATTGGGCAGAGGTGTCTGGTAGCCGATGAGCCTCAGGCTCTTTGCTAGTGGCGAAATCTGGGTGTGGCTGCCTTCCGCCATTCTGTCATCCTCGGCTGCACCAACGCCATCGGCAAGCTGAGGGCGGTGGCACTGGTTAGTCACCCTGCTGCGTCCCTGATTTTGGAAAATAAATAGAATAGGAATACTCCGTGAGGGGAGGGGAGACAAAACAGGGTCATCAGGGGCGCAAAGAGTACTATATATTATTTATTACCTTGCCGGCGTCGAATGCAGTTCCTGCTGGGAATCTGTATTCCGAATTCTATGTAGTATCGACTAAGCAGGTACGCAAATACAGCGGACTAAATATGCTGACTACACAGTATCTCAAATGTGTCAGATACATAAATAGATGTGATCATTCTCCAACTCGGTCAAGGATCACCACCTCTCGACGTGAATTGCTACTAGGCAGGCTCACTCTTTTCGCTAGATGCGCTTATCCCCTACTATTTACTGTATTTAAACTCTGCCCATAGAGTGAAATATACTAATATATTACAAGAATGCCACTCACCTCTCGACGGTCCAAATTCCACAAACATACCCAAATCACATTAATAGACGACATGTCAATTTATCCAGTTGATTGCTCGGGGTTCATGCTGACGTAATGTCTAGGAAGCTCAATTTGTAACATACACATCCACGCGCATGACTTGTTGGATCATTTGCTTCATTCGGCACGTTCCATGACATCTGTCGTCTTCTTGTCTTATTTTCAGGTGCCGGTGAATTGAAGAAGAGTCGGTCAATGTCACCTGCATGGTATCCATTCAGCATGCAAGGGGTCAGGTTGTATGTATATTCGTACGGACAACATCACAGGAAGGCGGTGATGCCAAATGAGTGAAGTTCAGTTCAATGTTGGGAAAGGGGAGCGCGTAGGCACTATCACGACTGGTCTTTTTTTTTTTGGTAGACTAAAAAATCTCCAAAATCACCCGACATCAATTGGCATAGGCCTGGTATTACAGTCAGTTAGTGGACGGACCATGGGCGCTTCGGTAACGGGCAAGGGATAGCTAAAGCTTTGATTACACCGCCCTCCCAACTTCAGTACGTACCAGACTCTTCAATGGTTTGCCTCGTACCGAACCATGCACCGGGGAACATTGACATGGAGCAGTGGATGGCTCACTACCGGGTTTATGGCAAGGAACATTGAAAACCGTTGACACTACTCCGTACTACGAACTAGTATCCTTTCCTACATAAGTACATATGTTCAACCAAGCTCGACGTGCACGTCAACTGGCATTTTCAACATTGGCGCCATGTACTCCACTGGGCTGGCGAAGATGCGCTTGGCACCTCGTCTAGGTGTTGAATGAAGGCAACTTCAAGGAGACAGACCTCGCAGACTCCATTTTGCAGTCGTTTGATTCTAACTTGATGAGTCAAAGGTCGAAGGCTGCGGCAGTGGCGCAGGGTGCTGGTACTAAGACCAACCTTGAACATTGAAGGCAATCGATTCATGACAAGGGCAAAAGTATGGTACTGGATCAGAACACGAGGACTCCCCGACGCGGTCTTTTTCAGAGGAAAATTGGAAATTGGAAACCAGCCGAGTCCACGCGTCAATTAAACCCTTTTTTTTTTTTTTTTTTTTTTTTTTTGTCCTGTTAGCTATTGTGAGACCTCCCCGGTCATTGAACCTTGCACGCGTTTCTTGCAGGGCCATGCAACCTGCTTCCAAGGCACCGGTGCCAGGCTAAACCACCGGTCGACGCCTGAGCTGAGAATCCCAGCAAGACGCGGTGCGAGGCCCACAGAGGTCTCAATTGCCCCCCGTGCCCCCCAGACGGGTGCCCTCCCGCCCAACCCACCCGGCCGCCGCCCCATCACCAGACCAAACATTGAAATGCCAGCATCAATCAATGCATTGACATGTCCGGTGGTTCGGTGCGCAGGCATCCGCACTGTACCAGTGGTGTGTGTCTGCAAGTCTAGGGCCGTTTTTATGCGCCCATCGGCACTGCTCGCTGCTTGATTGGCCTGGCTGGCCGTACGCGAAGGACCCCCCCTACTTGGGACAGGCAATCTCTCTCGAGTCAGAGATTGGGCCTAATTTCACTGGATTCCTGTGCCGTGATCCCTATTTTCCCCTTCCACGATAAAGTACTTTTTTAGTGAGATTGCTCTCGGTGGGTGCCCACACCAACACTGGCTCGAGTCAACTCCATGTCGAGTGTTTTGACGGTCAGTCCGGCATTCCCGGCGTCGCCCTGTGTTGAGCCTGGCCCGTCAGCTAACCAGACAGACAGTCTGTAGATGTACGGAGCAGTGCTTGGACATGTATGCATTCAACTACGGAGCAGCCTACCGCCTTGACTTCAGCGCCAGGCCCCTCATTGTCTCCTGGGGCAATTTCAGCACAGCCGTACCCGAACTCTACGAAAAAGCAAGCAAGGTTGACGGCTCATCGGGTCACCACGTAACGATGGCGCCTCCCGCCCCCGATCCGTGCCGCGCGAGTCAATGGACCACACAGCACGAGCTCCTCTGTCCACTCGACTGCCATGACACGACCACAATAATACAACCTACCCGTTGGCAAGTGGTTAGTCCACTTGGTCGCTGACGGGTACCTAATAATAGGCCCTTAAGATACCGGCTGCCCCGATTGACATTGTTACCATGTCTGGGAGGGCACAGTGTTATACTTGACAGTACATACAATACCAGTACTAGTAGTACTATATACAAGGGTGTCGACCACTCCCTACCAGGCACGACACGCGATTCCCAGGCGCTAAATGCCCCTGCGGCGTGCCTGCGCCGAGCAACGCCCTGGTCATTCATCACTTCCCTTCCAATTGACGAGGAAGTACTCCGTACTAGTACGACTAGTGTGTAGTACTGCAGGACTGCAGTTCGGATCGCCGAACACTCCATTCCGATAAGGATGAACCTCAGAAACACTACGCCGTAGATCGGTATTATTT